TATGTTTTAGAATTTCGGAGGACTACTAGTCAGTACTAGTCAGGGTTGTTTCCCTTGTAGTGGGACATTAATCAATGTGAGGGGGAATCCTGGATGATGTCAGAATAGGGGTACCAGAAGAATGGTGGTCGTGCTTTTGGTTTTCCGCAAAACCTCCCCTCCCAAAATGGGCACAGTCGCGAAAGAACACCCGTACAGGTATATGCTCCTTCGGATTAGTCTGAAGTTTACATGGCCATGATTTTTAATAAGGACCCCCCTGGAAAGTGGCTGGTGGACATACACCCCCAACTAAATGATGTCCACCAGAGGGTCCCTAACTAAAATTCAGACCCACATGACTACTGAAAGCCCCGACCCGGACGTCTTGAGACCCTCAGGCACAGCTCCTACGAAGATGAGCGACAAGAAGGAGGGGCAAAGATTGGTGCGGCACATGGCCGTGTCTCGAACCGGGGTACCCCCTAAATGTTGGGGACTTCTTTCGGATGTCCCCTTTGAAGGAAGCCAACAAATGGAACCGGTCCCCAAAAACAAACTATCATGAGGTGCTTTGCGGAGTGCTGGTTCCTGCAAGGACACGCGCATGGATGACCTTGAGGAGGAGGAGGAGGAGGAGTTCAATATGTCGTGCTCATGAACTTGGATTATGAATATGTAGTTGCCCTTTGTTGGGAGGAAATCCTTTTGGGGGCCGCTTTAAGGGAAACCAAATGGAAGCCAACCATTTTGGGGGACCCTTTAAAAAGACAAACCCAGTGAACAGAGTCTGCCACGTGTTTCATGCTACCTTCATTGATGGTCCCCAGCCACATGGGACTGTGTCAAAATAGGGAGGCCCCGCAAAAAGACGGGAGGCGTTTGCTGGTTGCCCTTTTGAACCCGTCCTAAAAAGCAAATCCTCAAAAAAGCCTCCAGCAGAGGCCCGCCATCTCCGGTCAAGTCCAGTCCGAGAGGATCAGGATGATCACGAGGAGCCCGAGGAGGAAGACGAGGAAGATGCTCCCAGGGGCAAGGCCTGACGTGTCGAAATGTTGCTTCGGCGGCATCGGAGTTCTCCTTTGGGTTCCCTCAGAAACCAACCGAAAAAAGGAGACTCGACAGGGAACCACTCAACCCCAGCCCGGGAACCACAAATCCATATGGGACCCTTTTTATCTAGAGGGTCAAAAAGTGGTTGCCATATGGCTGTGAGTTTTCATAGGGAACCACCTCAATAGTGGTTGGTGGACATGAACACCACATGTTGATGTCCACCAAAGGGTTTTTGAGTTAAAACTCACACGGCAACCACATGTTGACCCTCTGGATACCAAGGGTCCCCTGTAGATTCGTTGTTCCCAGGCTGGGGTTCTAGAGGAAAGTCCTTTGCAAAGGGAGCTTCTGTGTAAGCGCTTGTATTCGCCCAGGTGTTTGTGTGTGTGCGCGTTTTTTGTTTTGTTTTTTGAGAGTACCCTTGTTGGGTTCGGTTTTCAAGGGAACACCAAAAGGAAACCATGTTGCGCCTTTTTAGGGGGGTCCAACCTTAAGACACACCCGTTTCAATATTTGAATCATTGAGTGTGGGTAATTTCTCCTTTGGGGGTCTTGAAAGGGAAGCCAGGAACAGTGTATGGTATTGAGACCAATTTCGGCCACCACCTTGCCCTGGGGTTTTGGGCAATCCAAAGAGAAGGATGCCTGAACAGAAGGGAGGGTACAGCCAGAATGTTCTCAGAAGAGCTTTTTTGGACTAGTTGCCCTTGATACCTTGGATAATTTCTGGCATGGCAAACTGCCACTTGAATGGATATACCCGATATGGGAATGTGCTGAGCTCATCGGTCCCTGGTCTTTCAAGATGCCCCAAGCCCGGAGACTCAGGCCTCACTGTCCACTCAAGTTTTCGCCTGAAGCATTTGTCCTGGCCTTATTCAAAGTGAGGCTGTTTCCTTGGGGTGAGTTCGGTGTATCAGCAAAAACAAGACTGTTGTGACTCCAATTCGGCTGAGGTGGAGGGTCCATGGGCGCATTTTGTCTCAGCCCTCATGGTCAAAACCTATGGAGTCAGATTGGGATTTGGAGATTCGCGAAAGCGGGCGAAAGCCATGAGGGTCGACTTGCTTGGGGATTCAATTTTCGTTCAGGGTTTGGAAGCATTGTAGATTTGATCACAGGAAGCATGACTCACATTTCGGGACTTTCGACCGCCATGGATGCTGATGTTCCACGCTGCGAGGTTGGGCGATCGACTCTCCTGTTTGAATCATGGCTTAAACAAAATATGGATGCTTCTGTTTGAGAGTACCCCTTGGGGATGGTTTTGAATAAAGAGAAGCCAACAAGGAACCACCTATTTCAGGTTGTTTCCCCATTTTTTTCAACCATCGTTCTTTTCAAAACCAGCTTTTTGCTGGAAATATACAAAGCCATATGGGCCATAACGTTTAACCTCCTGTTGGTTTTCCTACAAGGTGGCCAGGGCGTGTCGCTGCTCCCTGGCGACAGGCCCTGGAGCATGGGGTGTCTTGTGCTATCTCACCAACATGGATTTGTCTCGAGCCCCAAAAAGTTGATTTCGCAGTCACGTTGGTTTCGCTGGTCTCCAAATGTGCCCTTGCTGGCGCCTTTCGGAGCTACGGACCGGGCCTTTCGGGGTGGGCCAGTTGTCGGATCGATCCGATGCGCCAGGCCTCTCCCAAGCCGAAAGCCGGGCGAAGGCCCTCCGCTCGCACCAAGAAGAACCCGGACAAGACCAAGGCGAGGGATGGGTCAGAACCCCCCCCCCCCCGGGAAAAAAAAAAAAAACAGAGGTTGGCTTCGGCTTTCCTTTTGGTTTCCCTTTCCAACTGACCAGCAAGGGGTGCCCTAAGATTAGACACGCCCATGGTCACCCAACCCCCAACAATGAACGCAACGGGTTCCCTCAAATGAGACACACTCGTGGTGATCTTTAAACTTTCCGCCAAAATTGGTACCGAGCTTGAAATTGAGCATCGAGAGCCGATTTCCATTGACATTGTACTGCCTGGTGTGGTTATAGTAAAGCTGATTTAAACCTTTGTCATTGTAGCCATGCTGGTAGAACCAGTAGTCAATGGGTTTCGGGCGCTGCTCAATTGGTGCAAAAGGTGATGTCAAAACTTGCTAAATGTGGTTCTGCTGGTGGTTTAGTTCCCCGGTTGCCTCTTTCTTTTTTTTACAGCCGCCCAAAACGGGCAAATCGAACGGGAGCTCTGAGAACCCCATCGGCCACTTGGCTTTCGGCACTCTCAACTCAGGGAACTTCTCCCGCGGTTTTCCTATGGGCTTCCCAAACAAGCATCACATGATGAGATGCTCTGAATTGGGTTTGTTGACTCTGGTTTGGTTTTCCTGATTTGGTTTCAATTCGGTTTTCCTTTAGTTCCCCTTGGGTTTCCCTTTGGTTTCCCATTGGTTTCACTTTGGGTTTCCTTTTGGGTTTGCTTTCTCTCCCTCGAATGCCCTCGAATGCCCTCGAATGCCCTCGAATGCCCTTTTGGGTGGTTTCCTTTCGAATACCCTCGAAAGCAACTCTGCAACAGGGTACCATCAACAGAAATACATGCCCACGAGTCGAATTAGGCAGCATACCCTTTGTTGGGTTCCTTTTCAAAGGACGCCAACATGATGCCGAGCAGTTTGGAGTCGGGGCTCATACAGATTGCCATGCAATTAGCGGGTTGGGTTTAAACAAACGCCAGTCAACATCAACCAGTCAACAAGAACCTCCAGGATCAAGATGTGGAGCAATGCATTTGGAAGGCTCGGACTCGAATTCGAGCCACTGGAATCCGCAGCTCGGTTTTGCAGGGCGCCCGCACCGAGAAGAAGGCAGGCATTTGCCTTCCCGCCACGTTTTTTTTTTTTTCTCCCCCGCCTTTCGCTCGGCTCGCAGGCACGCCGGTTGAAGCCTAGGGCTCCATTTGTGTGTTGAGCGGGTCCAGGAGACTTGCATTCAGCCCTTTGAGAAATGTGTCAGTTGGATGAACGTGGGTGCCATGCGTCGGCCATGTTGATTCATGCCCTGTACTTTTCCTGATGAACATGGTGCCATCTACTTTCAGTGCAACTGTTTGTTTCCTTTCCAGAGGCAGGGCTCGTGCCCACCTCTCGGGAATCCTGCAATTCGAAGCATGGCTTGCTGGGTCCATTAAAGTGACATTCTCAAAATCACCCTCTAACTTGTGTGTTTTACAGGATAACTCACAGCCTCAAATTGTGCTTTTGCGAAGCCCTCAAATTGATCCGCTCGAAGGGCCTTAAGCCGTAGCCCAAAAAAACAGACGTGGCAGGCTTCCCCGTGAACCGCATCCGGAGGATGCTCAAGGAGAGCGGCTATGCGAAGAGCCGCTCCGCACTGAAGAAGAATTCCCGCCTTCGCTAGACTTAACTGACGCTGGGTACCCTTGAACCCCTTTTGAGAACATCCTGTGTGTTGCTGACTGTTTTTTACCAGCAAAAAGTGAAGTTGGTTGCCCTTGGAAGCCCCTGTGGGGTTCCTTTGTGTTTTTCTTTGTTTAAGCAACAAGTTAAGTTTGCCTCGATTCCGGGATTTTGATCGAGCTGTGATTGCTTGCATCAAAGAAGGTGCGTAGCATCCGAAAGGACCCAATTAGGGTGACCCAAGTTACAATTGTCAAATCTGGGTTCAAAATCCTTCCTGAATCCATGGCCAGGCTCGACTCACGTTTGTAGGCACCTTTGTTGTTTTGAAATGTCCTTCATGTTTTGTTTAAACCTGTTTCCCTTTCAACCAGCAAGAAGCTAACATTTTGCTTGGGGTCTAAGTCTGGTCGGGGGTTATGGTGCAATGAATTTGGGGCGAATGTTAAGACCTGGCTCCTTTGTCGGGGGTCGCAACCTCCAACAAGTAGGGATTTTGGGTCCACACAATTTTCGACCCATGCACATATGTGCCTGGTTAGTGGCTTAAACATTACCTTTGGTTGCCAAGTTCAATCAATTTCCTCTTTGGGCTTGTGCCTTTGCGCATAGTTTGCCGTGACATGCTGGGCTCCGTTCGAGCCCTGACGAGGTGTGCGCAAGGATGCGCGCCAGCCTCAGTGGAAAGCCGGAGTAGTCGGAGGCAAGTCATGGCTCATGGTGATCCAAGCGGGTTTCCTCATGGGGTAACGCAATGATGTGGGTGTTCCTGAAAATAGGATACCCCCAAACTGGCTGGTGTCCTTTTCGTTTCCGCTTCAAACAACGATGTCTATATATTTGTTTTGCTTAAACATACATGTTTATTAGGGAACCCGCGTCTATCAGATCTTTGAGCATGGCTCCCCGAAGAATGGCGTCCACCAGCCGAACATCGAGCATTGGCGTCCCAAACCTCGGTTTCGAGAAGGAGTTCGGAGGCTTCAGGGATCCGGATCGATCCGGAACCGTGAAGCTTGCCGGTACACTGTCCAACATGCCCAGAGCTCTGGGCCATTTTAAAATGAAAGTTGGTCTCCACTCCAGGGCCGATTCCGAGACGTCAGGTGTTTGTTGGGGTCTTGGACAGGAGCCCTGGACTTAAAAGTTGAGTTTACATGGCCGAGGGATTTGCAAAGCAGATTTTGGAGAAGGCGAAGCGTCATGATTGGTGGCTCCCGGCCATCCCCTTAGCTTTTTAGCTATTTAGTGTTTAGTAGGGGTTTCCATTTGACCCACTCAAAGTCAGGTTAAACTTTTAGCGGGGGATCTGAAAACGGGCAGCCCAGAAACAGTTTGGAAGACCGGGTCAGCTAGGAGCATCTACCTCACCGGAGTGATTGAGTACGTCGTGGCGGAAATCCTGGAGCTCGCGGGCAACTCCGCCAAGGCGGCTTGCCGCAAGCGGGGCGAAGGGCGAAACAAAATCCCCACTGGCAATGGAGGGCCCCCAAAAGGTCGAGAGAAAGTGGCCCACTGAAAGGGGGGAAGGGCGGTCCCTGGATGAGTTGTTTGTTTCTTCTTTTAAATTAAACTCGGGCTGTTGTATTTAGAAAAGACACAAACAACCACTTGTTTTAATAATAAACAGAGGTCCCTCACTCCCTGATTGCTTGATTCCCCACCCCCTCAAAAAGGATGGTCAGAGGAATCAGGTCAATCTCCGAATCGGCAGGAGCAGAAGAAAGCCCGCATCATCCCTCGGAACATTCAGCTGGCAATTCGCAATGACGAGGCATCGAGGGAGCAGACTATGAATGGTGCAAGTCGAAGGCCAAAGGAACCTCCAAACCCTGTTTCTCCAAAATGGATTTCACACCCCTGCTTGCCTGGAAGCAGTGGGAAAAGGAAAAAAACACATACCCGCCATTTTGGGTTGGACCATTCATTTGGGCACCACGACTGAGAATCCTGGAGTCAGGAGCTGAACAAGTACATGAGCGATGTCACCATCAAGTCCGGCGGAGCCGTAACCTCAAAGAAACCGGCTCCAGTTCCATGTGTGGTTCCAATTCGTGAGCCTGCTGCATTCCTTCCAAGCCGGATTGTTCCCATTGAGACACGAAGGGTCTGGGGCACGCATTCCGCGCTGAGGTCTTGCCGAACGTTCACACTGCGTTGTTGCCCGACAAGCAGCCGACGAAAGGCCGGCCGTGTCATTTCACAAGGTCGCACGCGCTCGCCGATAGGTGTGGTTGCCGCCTCGTTCTCCCAGGAGTACTAGACAGGCCGGGGCCTGTTGCAACCAAATCATCCTGGTGCTCTCTGTGAAACTAAGAGAGAGAGAGAGAGAGAGAGAGAGAGAGAGAGCGACCGCAGAGACAGTCTCTTAATGGTTCTGTGACAAGATGCAAGTGTCCTGTTTGACTTTGCCACGACACGCATTGGACTGAGCGAATATCTGCGGGTGCCACCTGGTTTCATCAGTGCGACCCGGAATGATACCCCACACCAAAACGTGCACAACGGCATGGCTGCTACAAAATGGCTGTGTGTGTTTTTGGAGGATACGGTTTTAGGCAGGTTTTAAGGGAAACCAAGAGGAAAAACACTTTTCCTTTTTGGGGGGGACCCCTTATGTTGGCAATTGATGCTGGATTCGCTCTCCAGGATTGAAACTCGCGAAGCCAAAACTTGGTGAGTGGGCTCTTGGATATTAAGTGGTCGACGGCATCAAATCAGATATGGGCACTATCCTGTAGAGGAATGCTACTTTTATCGTATATATTGTTTTTAGTCCTTAGCCTCACAAGTGAGAGAGGAGGATATAGCAGCGAGGCACTGCAAAGTGAAAAGGTGACCAATAGGAGAACTTTTGTGAGCACGTTTGGGTACGTCTTAAATTAGGGGAACAATCCAAATGGATGTTCACCCTTGGTTTTGATTTAATGCAGCCTAACAAATAGGATGCCCTCGCAAAAACAAACCTATGTGCCCAAAGATTGGGCGTCAGCACTGCAAAAGAGCTTGTTTGCTAAGATTCATGAAGAGGTCGTTTGTAGGTCCGATGACAGACTGCATCACGTGCTATCGTTTCTTCGGTGTGCCCAGGCGCTGCAACTTGGCACTATGGCGCTATGGGTTGAGCGCACAGTGCCTGTACGCTACGCTGGTCTCTGTGTCCACACCAGTCAGCCGCTCCTGAAAGGATGGGCTTCAGCTTGCAATTAATCGGGCCCGACCATGCCGCCAAGGGGGGAACCAAGGCACAGAGGCAGCAGGGGTTGGGTCCCACGTGTAGGCAAAAAAAGACTCCCCATTTAGCAAGCTGGTAATCTTTTTCACCACTCGACGCGTGACAGTGCGCAATGAGAAGTCACGGTGGAATGCTGCCATTGCCAGCCAAAAGACAAATCTGCACTGCCCAACTGGCCACCAATCCGTTTGCGGGCACTGACTGGCAAGGTGCAATGCTGGGAGAGTGGTGTGTGATGTTGGGCGTGAATGCAACGTGTTGCTGTTTGTACCAGAACTTGGATGCGTCAAAGGCTCTTGGCAGCAAGAAAGCCATGGATGACAAAGTTGTATAGCCCTCAACAGAAAGCCATGGGAAAAAGAAAAAAAAAAGCTACAGCAATTTCTCAGCTGGTAATATCTACAGACCGGTCCAAAATTATGTTCAAGTCGGTCGCATCGCATTCGCGAAATTTTTTCGCGACCAGTTTTGACGCCCCAAAGCTTGGGGTAGCCATCGGAGCATGGAGCGCGCAGCTCTCCGGGCGATTCGGTTGCCCCGCAGTTTTGCCGGGAAGAGCGCGGCGTTTCGACCCGCTTTTGCCTTCCGCGGTTTTGCCGCGGACACGCATCTCCTTTGGAGAGGCGTCCAATCCACTAGCTTCTTGGCCAGACCCAGCTCACCTTTCTGCGCTGCGCACTTTTGAGCTTTCTTCATTTTTCGTTTCAACCAGCAGAACGTTTTTGCTTGTTCAACCTCCCCGCCATTTCCGCTTTACCTGAAGCGTCACTTTTGGGCCGATGCAAGTTTGGGGTGGACAAATACCGGTATTTTTGCTGTGTTTTTCTTTCGCCAGGTACATCGACGTCTTTTCGATGTGCATGTTTGGATGGTTCGTCGCTCCGACCGAGGCTTCAGCGAGCTTCTGGAGTTCAAAGATGGCTCGGAGAGCACCTTCCCGGTGTTCCAAGTTTTGAATTCACAGGGGAAGTTGCAGGCGGGGAATCCCTGCCAGCAGGCCACCGAAAGGGGGAAAGGGGAAAAGGGGGGGGAAGGGGGTTGAAATGGGTGATGGAGAAAAACAACCAACAACCAAGCCAATGGCCGGTTCGGCCGAAACGAAGAGGGAGGAAGTTGGATTCTGAATGGGTGTTCCAATCTTTTTTCCTTTCAGGCATCTTAAGAGGCACTTTGGACTGGCTGAGGGTTCCTCTCAGTAGGGCGGTTCAAGGGAGACCTATATAGGGAGCCCTGGTTTCGGCCCTTTTGAGTTTGGGAAGCCAAGGGCCATTAGAGGTGCTGCCATGAAATGCATGTATTTGTCGAATGGCGCAAGGATGGGGTGGAGCTCCCATTTTCGCTGGACGAGGGGGTCCACATGATGGAGCTCATGGTGAAGAGTAAGGTCTATGACGATGTGCTGCTCACCATGCAGCGCCAGGGGCGCATCAGCTTTTACTGCACCAACTACGGGGAGGAGGCGAGACTGGGGCCATGGGACCCAATGCCGGGAGGATGGCTGGAAAAGCTGTTCAAAGGCAGCCTCGGGTTCCGCTTCCTTGGTATATAGCGGTTGCCCTCCAGTACATTTGGAGACCGGATGCTAACCAGTAAATTGGGCGTGCCTGTTTGGGGGAACCCGCATTTTGGCGTTTTAGAGGAATGGCAGGGAAGGCAGGCGCTAAGTTTGAGACACATTCCGCGCTGTTTGTGTGTGTGTGTGCGGAGTGGCAGAATACCCTGTCACCAAACCTTTTTTCTTCAGCAGGGGGCCCGCGAGCAACTGGATGGCGCGGGCCAACGAAGACCCATCCAGTTTGCTGTGCAAACGTACCTGCAGAAGTGATTTAAGGTCCTTTTGGTCCCCTCCCTGAACCGCCGTTGCTTCCTTGTTTCCCTGTTCAAGTAATTAGAGTGAAGCTGAGTGCCTTGCGAGCCAAAACTTATCCCACTCGAGACTTACCAGTTGTACTCGAGACTCATCAGTTGTACTCGAGACTCATCAGTTGTACTCGAATGATTAGCACCCTCCCTTGGGAGTTGAAGTGTGGGATATCTTTGCGGTTGACAGATCAGGTTCTGATTTGGCGTTCGGCATGGGGTCAGAGTTGAACATTTAATAGCGGTTTAGTTCCACTGAGCCAGTGCCGTGGTTGTCTTCAAAGGACACTTATGGACCTATCCCAGGTGAAGGGATTCCCAAACAAGAGCAATTCAAGCGCTGAATCAAAGGAGGCCCCTCAGACCTGCAGTCGTAGGTGGGGAAGTTCCGGATGAGTAGCCTGTCGATGGAGCCAGCGGATTGGAGAAAAACGGGCCAAACCACCAGTTAGGTTCCATAGATCTCATATGGGAGGGCGCAGTTCGCTCGACGAATTTTTTGGGCCAACCTTTGACTGCTGGCTTGACCCCTTCTTTAGGGTGCCTTAGCAGAAAGTCGGACACTTTTTGGTGGGAAACTGGGGGGAACCCACCAATTTCGAGGGAGACCGAAAGAACCCCCCCATCTCCACAAACACACGCACACACTCACGCATGCACGCCCGTCCGCACGCCTGCACGCGACCACAGGCCCGCACGCACACGTGCGTACACACACACCCCAAAGCCCGTGGGTGCCGTAGGTTTCTAGAACAAAGTTGGTGGTGGCCCCGAAACCTCGGCGTTTCCAGGCCACCAGCGTGGGCACGGCTGCTGCCCTGCAGCCGCAGGACATGATCTGGCCACAGTACCGCGAGCTGGGGGCCTTCCTGTGGCGCGGGCTCACCGCCCAGGAGCTACCGAGCAAACTCAAATCAAAAGAAGGGAATGCAAAGAGCTGGTGATTGTCCTTGAGCTTTCCTTTTCAATCCGTCCCCAAAAAGGATACCCACAACAAAGACAGACCCTAATATATTTGGCTACGGACGAGAAATGGAGCAGGGGATGACCATGTACCCAACAACCAGCGAGCTGGTTGGTTGTATGTTTCTGTTCGGGCAACCTCCTTTTGGTTGGTTTATGTTGGGCAACCAGATAAGAAAACCGCTGGATTATGGCGCACCAGCTGGGGCCAATCAACCCATTAGTTAGGTTCGACATACTTGAGTGTTTTTTTAAATCAGCAGGGTCACGAGAGGACTGGCACTCCACAACCATGGTTATGACCCAAGAGTCCCTGAAGGAATACCAGAGAGGAGGTTTGAGTTCCTTTTCAGGGTTGCTGTCAGGCTTTAACCGATGATCAGAACACCGTGGGTTGCCACAATTTTGACACACTCTTTGAGCCATTTCGGTGAATCTATGATTTCACCCCAAAACCAAGAACTCGGGAATAGCAGGAGATTTGGACTTCTACAATGCATATTTGGAGGTTCCGCACGGCACAGCTTTCTTAAGGGCTAGGTGTATAGCCAAACCGCTTAAGAGTCAATATATGATTGCAATATCTCAAACACGCACACTTCTGGGGACTTGTTTTGCTCAACCAAGTTTTGAATGGGTGTTTCTTCTTTTTCATTTTTTTTTTATTTTTTTTTTTTTTTTTTACGGGGCACCCAACCAAAAATGTGTTTGTTCTTTTGGATTCCCTGTTAACCCCCCCTCCCCCCGTCCCGCGGAAAACCCGGGTAGCCTCAAGAAACGCAGACCCATATACGTTTTGAGGAGATCGCGGACCAGAACATCGGCAACGAAGGGGACCGCAGCAAAGGCAGGAACCTCCAGGCACGCTGAGCAGCGCTGAGCTGTCTTTGGCTTTGTGAACGGAGCCCAAAATGGGTGTGGGTCAAAAATAGGGTAACCCCAAAATGGAACCCTGGTAAATGGAAATTACATAGACTAGCACCTGCGGTCCCTGGTTTAATTTTGACCACACCCATGACCTTGTGGAACCAAATGGGTGTTTTTTGTTGTGGGTACCCCCTTTTGGGGGTGGGCTTAAAGGGAAAACAATGGGTGGTTCCCCCACTTTTGAGACACCCAAATGGAATTTCCATCAAACCTGCAAAAGTGTCCATCACGACAAATGGCGATCAAAATGTTGGTGGTGGAAGAGCAACCCAGTCTTTCTGCCCGGAGAGCAAAACTGAGGCTGGCGGCAATTGAATTCGTTGATGTGACAATATGCTCGCAGAAAAAACAAAAAAGCAATCGTCAGCATGGATACTTCAACCATCATGGAAGTGGACAGGGAGGCCCTTTTGAGATGATACATGTCTTCCAGAATCCGTCCGTGCGCCACCGTGATTGTTTATGGATAGTAGGCTCCTCAAGCTTCCCTGCCAAAGCGTTCTGCCTTGCGAGGTCGAACGGGAGCAACCCGAATTTTCGTGCTCTCAGATTCCAAAAGCTAGCTTATCCACCAGCCCAACGGCATCCCACGATTTTGGGGGTAATGTTGAGGTGCATGAATATACAAGAGTCCCTGCAAAGGCAATCCAGAGTCAGCAGTATGAGCGCCTGGTCGTTTCCTGGTGAGTACCAACTACAAGCTGATTGTCTCATCGGGCGGAATGTACTGAAGGGAGATTGACCCATATGAATGGCTCGCTTGGGCAAGGGGAGACCAAGGGACACCTAATGCAGCCAAACACCGAATAGTTTAATCAGCTAGTTGGTATCCCCATGCCTGAAAGCAAGAAGTCATGACTAAAAAGGCAATGTGGGTATACTGTGTCAAACAGGGGGGGGGGTTCAAAAAGGAATATGGAAATGAACCTCCCATCCCCCAACTCCCACTTCCCAACCGTTGCCCACAAAACTAGCATTTTGTAACACGCCCACCTAATCCTTGCTTCACCGAGTTTCTTTCAATAACCAGTGCTTATTTATTTTGGATAATAAACAATCAAAGAAACACTAAACCCAATACGTTTCATCATTTTACTCCCCATGCCATTTGGTCCACGACTTTTTGGTTCCAGTTTTTGGGGTTTCTCTCAGCATGTCAGGTCCACTACTGCATGTTAGAGAAGAACATGCAGACGGTGCACGCCGTGCTGGGCACTCAAATCCCCCAAGCTCCTGGGGCAGGATATGCCTATAAGCTGGACAAGGAGGACTGGAGAGGGGTGATCAAGGGATTTGGGTCTGGCGTTTTTCGAGGGACACCCAAAAAATCCGTGAGCCCATTTTGCGCCGGGGTGTCATCCTAAAATAAACACACGCATGTGAACCAATCATGTCCTTGGGTACCAGCACCCACCGGTCTGGTGTTTGAGGGAACCAGCACCCGGGCCCCAGGTCCGAAATCCCCTGTCCAACAAGCAGCGAGGTGCTGATTGCCGGTTTCTCGGTTTTGAAGGGACGTAAAGGGACAGGAGAACCGTTCAGCCATTTCGGGACTCCAAATCCTAAAGACTCATGTCCTAGGAAAAAGGGCTGTTTTTGGCTCGGGAAATCGAAAGGAGAGTGGTTAAGCAGCGTTTTAAGCATTAGAAAATGGCTGGACCCCTGCCATCAAGCCGGGCGATGTTTGGACTGCCCACCCGTCCCAACCGGCAGTTGAACTCGAGCATGTGACACAGACTTGGAACTTCTAAACGGTGAAGGGCGCCGTCAAAAATACAATTTGGCCACGTAGCCCCCATTTTGCAGAGACGGAGCCCTTGGAGTCGCAAAGGGAAGCTAACAATTCAACATTTAGATGTGTCTGTTTTCAGGGGACCCTTCGTGACGAACGTGCCGCTTTTCTGCAGGGGGTCACTGCACACAATTTGCCAGTTGGCATGGATGGTGCAAGGGAACCCTTTGTAGGAGGAACATCGTCCAAAGGGGGAGTTGGGTAAACATGAAGCATGGGCCGTGCGCGTTCCTTGTCTGGACAAGGCCCTCAAAATGGTGGTTTCTTGTTCGGTCTGGTAGAAAAGATTGTATTCCGAATTGCTAAATGGGTGTCTTTTTTTAGGGGAACCCCTTTTTGCTTGGTTTTAAAGGGACACCAAAAGGAAACCACAATTTTTGGGGAACGGACGTCCTTTGAAGGCTTCAAGGATTTGTTTCCCTTTAAACCCACCAAAACCCGTCAACCCATTGAAAACGGTACGGCGAGAGGACCGCGTCTCGGTGACCTACTTCGGGGACGGCGCTGCTTCGGAGGGCGACGCATTCACGGGCTTGAACTTCGCCTCAGCCCGACGGCACCAACAAGTCTTCCATTTCTTTGGTGCATTTTGCCAAGGGATGTTAGGACTTTAACTTTTTGCCAACTGGAGCTTTCTGAGAAGACACTTTTAGTGGTATTAAAAATCATCATTTGCACCAAGCTTCTTCCATTTGCTTAAGGATTGTCTTGCTCGTGCAGTAGGTAGGGAATGAGGGAATGAACCTGGGGGTACCCCTTAAAGGAAACCACCAGTTGGTATTGGATGGTGTAAATCGGGGACATTGCATTCTCATTCCCTGCTGAGCGCCAGCAAGTTGTGTTTAAGCCAATGACCCTTGGTTCCCTATGGTTTCCATTTCCATACCTCAGTGGGAAACCTAAGGACAACCATTTGGCAAACCACTATAGTAGGTAACTGGGGGAAGCCATCACGTAGTGAAAGGGAAGGAAGCCGAAGGCTTACCTAATGGCTTGCCTGGATGCACTGGGTTTGCTTAAGAATTTAACTCACGTCCTGAGTTCATGGAACAGACACTTTTTGGGGTTTGGACCATTTTAGTGGTAAATAGCAAGTTTGAGCTTTTGTGGGCCAATCCACACAGGAAGTGAGGAATATGTTTTCAGGTTCCCGTGTTGGTTTAAAGGGAAGTCATCACCATTGCAGATATGTCTTATAGTTTTTCCAGGGGGCTTCAGCAAATGGCGGTACATGTAAAGCGAAGGGAAATTCCATTTCACACCAGTTGGCAGGTGGCTTATCTTTGGGTTTATGCATCCGAACTGGTGCAGGATTTTGTCCATCCACAGTAGGTGCCCTTTTAGTCTAGTTTGATTAGACAATAATATAAGTTGCTTTTTCCCCTTGGGCCATCGATTTTTGAAAAGGTCCCCTATGGTCCAAAATGCTGCACCCCGTTTAGTGCAAGCATGTTCATTATGCATTTAAATGCCATGTTTTTTGTGCTGACTCAAGAGCAAAAGAGGAAAGCAGCTTTGTATTTTTGGGTTCTAGCTGTACCCTCTTCTTTTTTCAGGAACGCACATGCGGTCAGTTGAAAAGACTTGTTTGCGTTTTTCCAACAGGGACAGGTATGGAGTCAATCCGCCAAAGCTGGGTTTGCGGTTCCAGGAAGATTCGGGGGTCTGTGGTGGGTTGGACTATATAAGGGCGGTTCACTGGTACTTTGAGGAGTTGAGTGTTGTGTTTGTTTTGTTGAGCGTCCCGTCCCAACTGCCGAGCTGGACAGTTTTGGGCGGTTCACAACTACCGTTGCGGTTCATCATTGAGAAAAAGAAGAAAAACAACCTATGGGTGCTTTGTCACGTATTTGAATTTAAATAAAGATCACAGAAGGTTCATGTCCATCCCAGGAATCGCTGAAGCCGGTTTTGGGCGCGGGAGTCAGATTGCGTTTTGGTCGTTGGACCCAGGTCTACGGGAGTCAGACGCTCTTCATTTGCCGGAACAATGGGTACTCCATCTCCACCGGCGTGGATGACCAGTGCCTGTCACAGAAATTGTGGCTGTGGTGGTCAAAACCGTTTTGGATCCCATTTTGGGGTAGGTGGATTCGCCCATTTTAGTCCATTTTAGTTTGGGATTGGGATGTTCACTGGGGGGTATGGGATTTTGACCCATGGCCACGTGCATTTACAGGTTCACGAAATATGAAACACAACTGCTTGTGTTAATAAAGACTCGGCACCCAACGGTTTTGATGTGAAGAAGTAACAGGAAAGCAATCCAGCACACGCCAACCACTGCTTCTTGGACACTACTTGGGATGTCGGACTTGGCGAAAAAGCTGCTGTGCTGAGGGAATGAGGGAATGAACCCAGGGGTCCCCTTAAAGAAAATACTGGTTGGATGGTGTGAATCGGGATCATTCCATTGGGGGTCCGCTTACTCGTGGCAAAGGTACGGGGGCGACGGCATCGCGGCCCGGGGGCCGGCCTTGGGCATCCCCAGCGTGCGGGTGGATGGGAACGACCTGGTGGCCGTGTTCTTGGCCACCCGCGAGGCGGGGGCAAAACACATGCTGTGGCGTGTGTGGGTGGTTTTGTTGGTTGGTTCTTGTGGGACTGTGTTTGTTTTTGGAGGGCTGGATGTGTGTTTTGTTTTTGAAAGTGCCCTTGTTCCGTCCACCAACCAAAAAAAGGAAACCTTTATTGGTTTCCCTTGGCCACTGGGCATCTGAGATTTGGCTGACTGGGCTTCAAACGGAAGCCGAGAGATTCTGAGATCTAAACCAGTGTCCGAAAACTTGGGTTTTTTCAAGGTAACCACCAAACCACGAGTCCAAACCACCCAATTGGAAGGAAGCTGAGAAAGGCAGGGGCAATTGGTTTGAAACGGGGTGCCATGCTTTTGTTGGTTTTAAAGGGGCACCAATAGGAAACTGACAATTTTTGGGATCCCCTATTTTGAGACAAGCGCGACATTCAATCAGCCTGACCCTTGTGGATGTGTGTGTGTGTGGCTTGTTTTGAGGGTACCCGTTTCGGGATTGATTCGAAGAGAAAGCAGGAAACCCATTTCTTGGGGCTTCCCATTTTGAGACAGACCCTCGTCCCGCGGGGCTTAGGGTCTCCTCCAAAACGATGTTATATTTTGGAGTGGACTAAACATAATATAAATATACGTTTTGCTGTGTATCCCAGCTGCGGACCAAGGCAAAGGGATACCAAGGATACTGTTCAAACAACAGGTGATTGGTTCGCCCCAACCTTCCCGCGAGGCCAGAAGAAGATCAGTTGCAGAGCAGAAGCCAACTCTGCTCGAGCTCATGACTTACCGAGTGGGTGGCTCGGTGCCAAAGTAGTCAACTTGTGTTTGCCCGAAAGAGCTATTTTCTGCCCATGAAGCTCAATTGCCCTGCAAGAAAACCAAAAGGGGATGGATCATGTCGTTCATTTGTCCCGTCCTCTTTGGCACTCAGGTGACCACACCACCTCAGATGACTCATCCGCATATCGCAAGGAGAACAAGGAAGAGGTGGCGAAACTGCAAGCGCTCGGGCCGATTCCGCGGTGGCGCGCCTTCTTGATGTCAAAGGGCGTGTGGACCGAGGAGAAAGAGAAAGCCATTGCGACAGCTGCACGTGAAGAGATGCTTCAAGCCATGAAGACTGGCGAAACCAAGAAGAGGCCGCCTTTGCGGGACCTCTTCACTGACACTTACACTGACCTACCCTGGCACTTGGAGGAACAAGCGGCATATGCGGAGAAGCATGTCCGAGAGTACAGCCAGGATTACAAGATGAGCGCCTACCGGGGCCTCGACGGACCGGCCCCCGTGCCGGATGCGCGGCGCATCGCCTCTGCGCCCCGGCAAATGCCACCAGCGCCCACTGGCAAGACACGAGAGATGACCATGGTCCAGTCCATCAACGAAGCCTTGTCCATCGCCCTGTCCAGCAATGAAAGGACTGGCTCAGAATTTCTCACAAGAGGGTCGTAACCCAACTCGCCCTTTTCAGGTTGGTTCAAAGAGACACTGCCACCCATTTTGGGTCCCGGTCCAAATCCTTCTGACACATTATGGTGAGCCCTTTTGTGGCTGCTGGTTGTTTAGCGCCCCCTGCTGTGGAACCTAATATGAGGGTTTCATCCATCCCACCTGGTGCGAAGCGGATTCACTAGGTACTCAACATGGATCCCCGCTAAATGGAAACATGGACTAAAACCTGCGGTCCCCTGGTGGTTTTATTTTGACCCATGCCCATATGAGGGTGTTTTGTGTACTTCATTTTGAGACACACCCACAGTCGACCACCAAATGCCGCCAAAGGACGGTGCTCTTCGGAGAGGACGTAGCCTTTGGAGGGGTCTTTCGATGCTCCATGGGCTTGCGGGAGACTTGGAGACGTCGGGAGTCCCATGGACTCGTACGGAAGCCCATTTGCGGTTGGGTTAAAGACAAACCAACTGAAACCACCCAAAGACGAGCTCATTTGGGCATGGATTTGGATTCGGGCCAAAGAGGACATGTCCACCGAACTGTTTTGAGGTGGTTCCCCACTAGAATTTAGCCATCTATCCCTTCTTGGTGGTTTTAACATCACCTCTGGGAGTTCCCTCGAGTAGGGCGCCAAAGGGCGGGCATTGGTTTCACTGTGCCCTCCTAAGGAGAAGCACGGAGAGGGTCGAGTGCTGAATGCTCCGGTGGCCGAGCAAGCCATCGCTGCCTTTGCCATCGGTTTGTCCGTCGCGGGGTACAAGGCAGGGTTGAAACAACCTGACTGCCTATTTGGGTGTGTCTTTTTCTAGGGGACCCCCCGCACAATGGTGGTATTCCTCTTAGTTTCCCTTGAACACCCCAAAGAACGGGTACCCCTTTTCCACCATTTTGGGCCGTCCAACCTAAAAAGGCGACACACCCGTATGTGATTCTGGTTGCAAGCGTGACGTTTCGGTGCTTGCGACGGATCTACCCAAATTGAAGGTTCCTTTCTTGGCGATCCCTTTGGTTCGTGAATCATATGCCACGGGCTTCTAATGCATCATTAGAGAAATAACATGTTTTGCAATGAAAGACAAATACCCTCTTCAATGTTGAATTGTAAGCACAATGTCTTCAGCGTACACACAATGACCTCCACAAAGCCATTGTACTAAAGATGGACCAGGAGACAATTTAGTTGTAATTACTGTAACTCCCCATAAACTTAGTTGTCCATTCTGCAAAAACACAACCATAAATAATGTTCCCATGAAGAAGAAATAGCTCTTGCTTCCATCAACCCAAGTGTTGAATTAAAATACTGTGGATGGACGAAATCCTGCACGACCAAATAAACCCTGGAATGATGATTCCCCTGTAAATACCAACAAACCATGGTTTTTCCATGGTTTCAAAACGGTGCAGGATTTTATCCAGGAGGGCCATTTTTGTTTAGGATTTTTTTTCGTTTTTTTTAGGAATTATTTTTGTTTTTCAGGGTGGGTGGCTTTTCGGCTTTTGTGGCTTTTACGTGGGTTTTTGTGGCTTTTGTGGCTTTTCATTTCGCATCCTCTGCATTCACAGTTCCTCTCTTTCGCATCCTCTGCATTGCCAGTTCCGCTCTTTTGGCGGCTTTCTGGCTTTGGCTTTTCGCATCCTCTGCTTTCCCAGTTGGTTTTTGGCCTTGGCTTTCTGCATCCTCAGCATCGCAAGTTCCTCTCTGGTGCCCCCCGCCACCCCCCTTTCGATTAAAATACACGCCTAATTGAATCATCACTTTTTCGATCATCATGCGACAGCTGCTTTTAGATTCTTTGGCGGCCGTTTTACAGGGATTAGTTTGCCCGTGATTGAATCCTCACTTGTACCATGAGGCCTTGCCGCAGAGGAACTGATGACCCCCCGCTGCTTTTTGTTTTTTTATGTTGTTTTTTGGCCCTAATTGAATCATCACTTTTTCAATCATCGTGGGGGGGGCTGCCGCCCCCCCCCAACCCCCCCGCTATTTTTTGGACTTTTTGCCCCTATTTGAATCATCACTTTTTCGATCATCATGCGACCGCTACTTTTTAGATTCTTTGCCCCTAATTGTTCGATCATCATGGGGGGGGCTGCCGCCCCCCCCCAACCCCCCACTATTTTTTAGACTTTTTGCCCCTGATTGAATCATCACTTTTTCGGTCATCATGGGGGGGCTGCCGCCCGCCCCAACCTTCCGCGCCTTTAATTGAATCATCGCTTTTTCAATCATCATGGGGGGGCTGCCGCCCCCCCCAACCCCCCCGCTATTTTTGGACTTTTTGCCTTTAATTGAATCATCACTTTTTCGATCATCATGCGACCGTTACTTCTTAGATTCTTTGCCCCTAATTTTTCGATCATCATGGGGGGGCTGCCGCCCCCTTCAAGGAGAGACTGCCGCCCCCCCCAACCCCCCTGCGCCTTTAATTGAGTCCTCACTTTTACCATGAGATGCGTCCTCACTTTTACCATGAGATGCGGGAAGCCAATTTGCTGGTGATGCTGGTGATGTTGGATGGACATGCGGGGGATGTTGAAAACGATGCTGATGATGTTGACGGACGCGCAAAATACGTACATTTCGCAAGAAAATGCTGTAAATTACAGCATTTTAGTAGCCAGGACGGAAAACAAAAAGAAATCCAAAAATGAAAAAACAAAATCCCAAATTAAATCTCGACCCTTTTATCCATCCACAGTATGAAGCGTAGACACCATCTACAAAATATGTTTCAATTTATGAATAACTTACCAAACTATGCGGATTAGCATTTGATGTTACATGTGTAAACCCTATACCTCGCCCGGATCGCGAGCGCAGGGGGGGGGGGGGGGGGGACGAGGCCTTGTAGGACCTTTTCCTGGATCCCATTCATATTTAAGGTGTTAAATGCATTGGTGCGGAATCTGACCAGATACTGGCCCCATTGAATGCTCAAAGAGTGGCGGTTCCCAGCCATCCCCTTAGGTTCTTAGCCTTTTTAGTGTCCAGTGGGGGTTTCCATTTAACCCACTAAAAGTTAGTCACTTTTAGCGGGAAGTCTGAGGACAGCCAAGTAAAGAGTGGTTTGAGCCATGTCTTGAACACGTTGAATCGTTCCATCGCCTGCAGGCGATTGCGGAGATTCAGTTTGCTGATTACATCTTTCCTGCATTTGACCAGATTGTCAATGAGATTGCCAAGACTTGGCCTCAGCTTGAGAGATCTGAGAGCCAGATGAGCCATTTTTGTCGGGGGGTGGGTTGGTTTTGCCGAACCGGTCTAACCTGTTTGTAGGTTTAATGGAGAAGCCGTTTGTGTTACAAAGGTCATTTTGGGGCGATTTGGTCACACCAAAGACCAGCCGCGTTTTGAGTCTCCAATTCTTTGCCCTCCATATCCCGTCCAAGGTATCGATATCGCAACGCTGGCGGCGGCGCCGGGAACATCACGATCCGGGCACCCTGCTCTGCCGTCGGCCATGGCAGCATGTATCACAGCCAGAGTGTGCACCCCTTAGTTCAGCTGCGCACGTTTTCTGTTTGCGACAGGTCTGTCCTTTCCAAGAAATGGTGGTGTTCCTTTTGGTGTCCATTTTAAACCACGCAACATGTGGTATCCTAGAAAAGACACCCACATTCTTGACTGAAGGTTGCTTAGGATCAGACCTATGCCGCAACCGGCGAATCGCGAATCCGACCTGTCATGTTGGAAGGTGGTTTCCGCTGGATTTGGGGGATATAAGGCCTACATGGCCATGAATGTTCATGGGCAACCCCCGCTCAACATGATTGATGGACACTCCCCATGTCAATGCTGTTCACCAACGGGTCCCCAAAGCTTCATACCCACATGGGCATGTCGTTTTTCTGTTGCGGGGGATCCTTTTAGGGGTTTCGAAAGGTGCGCCATGTCGGAGGTGGCTCCCCGCTCAGGTGGAGAGTTACTTTGCGCACTGCCCTGGCCTGAAGATCGTGATCCCGAGGGGGCCCAAGCAGGCCAAGGGCTTGCTCTTGGCAGCCATCCGTGACCCTGACCCGGCAGGGGGCCCAGAGAGCGATCCATGGGCTGGCAAACAAAGGACCAAATTGCAGACTGCTGGACCTGGAAACAATGGGTCTGTCGTTTTTGCTGAGGGTCCCTGTTTGGTGGTTGAAAGGGAATCCATCAGGAAACCACCCATTTCGGGATGGAAGGAATCCAACCGCTAAACATGGAACCTGTCAGTAGGTGCAGTGTAGGTTATACAAAAAACAAAAAAACAACAAACAGAAGTCGGCGTTAAAGCCAAAGAGCTCAGGTGGGGGTAAAGCTGTTGATTCATAAATCACACGCATGGGGAATTTGACTGAGATGGGTGTTGGGTTTGACAGCCCGGAAGTTGTGAGGCAGTTGGCAAGATGTGCTACACTGATGAAGCATGGACACCGATGCTTTAGATGATCATGCTGTGGCGCAGTATTGAGGTGCTTTTCTTTGAGCCGAAGGTTCTGTACCGCGCCAAGATCGAAGGCCAGAGTCTGGCGGCGTTTGGCTAGCTCGGATGCGTTGCTCGAGTTTGCAGCGCCGGACTGGGGTATTCTTGAGTTGCCAATCACTTGAACCGGAAAAGGCGCCCAGCACACTGTTTTGAAATGGAGCATCTGATAGGAAGCGTTGCGATGTCTAATTGGAGTTTTCTCTGTTCTGACATGGCAGTAGCCCTAGCCCATAGCATTCTTGCTGCTCAGTAGAGAAGATGGGAACGGCCCTCTACGACTGGTGGAAGCTTGTAGGAAGGGTTCGAAGGTTGATTCAACCATGTACCCCAAGCACCAAGTATCAAAGGCGATGTCGGGTATTTGTGAGGGAGTACCTCAACTCACAGGAGCACCAGGTATCCCTAGCGAAGCTGCAAAAGGCTATGGGTGATATACCGTTGGAAGCGGTTAGCGGCACGTTCTCAAGGGTACATGACCACAGTCCTTGCAAAAAGCATGATGCACATGCCATAGACTCCTTCCAAAGATGTTTTGATTGGTATGTCTCGCGTGCTTGATTTTAGTCACCTGCTCTCGGGTCCATTTTAATTGAAACTCTCAAAGTAAGCCTGGCACAATTTGCTGCACAGGAAATCCACCTGCAAAGTAATTCATGTACATGTACCGTGCCCTCCTGTCCACTAACATGGAACCCACCAGAGGGTCCATTCCAAAGGCACGTGGTAATCCAGCACCCTCAGTCAGGTTCCATGTTGGATATAATTCATGCCGTCTCCAGAATCTCTCAAAGGTGATGTCCATAGAGTTCCTCGAATGGTGGAGTCCCTGGACCTCTTCTTTCCTTCGCCCCAAGCTTTGTGGTTTAGATTGCGGGTTTGGGGGATTCCTTCGAAACCCGTTTTGTGAAGTACCTGCAGACTCAGGTATCCCCCTAATTACTAAGGATTTGCCCAGTGCTTCAACTTTCCACTATAGCAGAAAACCAGGTAACCAGGTATTTACCTCTGGGTGTCCCATGGTTTTTTCTGGTTACCTAGTATAGTGGCTTTTACCTCTAGGTTTTAAACCATGGATGTTTTTTTTTTTTTTGTCTGGTTCCCTACCAAAGTGGCTTGCGCACCGGCGCCTGGACTCCGGGGCTTGGATTTGAAGGAATGGGACCACCAGACGTCTCCAGGTCCAGATGCCCAGGTCCCCGAGGGGGACTACGAGCTCCCCATCGGCCAGGCGGAGGTGGTCCGCCCGGGGACGGACGCCTCCTGGCCAGACCGCCGGCTTTTTCCTCGGAGGTGGGGTTGAAAACTCTACGGCTTCCAGGTTTTGTATACGATCTAAGCCAGGGAAAACTCTTTGTTTTTTGCCAAACCGCCCGGAAGACTGGTTAAGAAATAGACGGGCAAGCCACTGGCTTAGATGGGCTGTCTGAACCATCTGCCAGGGAAACCCATCGATGTTCAATCAACATTGGCGGCTTCCGTCAGAGATATGCTCTCCGGCGCTGGACAGTTTCATTTGGAAAAAAATCCCTGTTGGTTTTAAAGGGCATCTATCACTACTGGACATATTTGTATTTTTCCCAGGGGACAAAGATCAGCGTTGCTACAACTCCCATGGACTGTCTCCTGATTGCTACTTGACTTTGCCGAAATCAATTCACCCATTTGGGCGTGGCGCAAACATGTTTTGAGACCTCCATATGTTGCCGAGTGTCCATTTGGCCTCCCTTTGAAAACCACTCAAACAGTGGTATCCTCACAAGAAGACACACCCATTGGCCCCTCAATCCCAGTGGGGAAACAATTCAGTCCTATAGAGTTGTTTCATATCGGGGCCCCTGAAAATGGGTTTTGTTTGGAACAAGTTCACCCGCCAATATCCACTTCCGCTCCCCACAGGGGCTTGCCGATATCCGCGTGGTTCGCGTTTCACCATGATGCGATTCTGCCGCTTGAGAAGAATGTCGACCGGTGATCAATAACCCCGGGGTGCTTAATGAGGCAAGCCTCCTCCTTTAGGACCCCTACGGAACAAAAGTTTCAAGTGCTCAGTTCGTGGCACCCACGTGATCGCCCACGTGAGCGTTCGGAATACGCGGGTCCTCATGAGAAAATACCACCAGAGCCATTGATCCATCAAGGCTGTTGGCGTTGCACTTGGATCTCTAAACCTTTAGACTTAGAAAAATAGGACATAGCTCGAGAAGAGTGAGTTAGTTCTAGAAAACAGCGAGCGTCATGAGTCAGGAATCATATTTTACATCGGCTCGTGAACAATGGGAATCATATGGCTGTGGGTCAAAACCAATGGTACCATTTTGGGGTAATTAGGCGCGCCACCCGTTTTAGTCTATTTTAGTTGGGATTGGGATGTTCACTCGGGGTACGGAATTTTGACCCATGGCTCTCATGGAAAAATGGGTAATCAAGAAATGATGAATCGGAGATTACCTTTTGCCGCCTGAGGTGACCTTGGTGGGGTGGGGCTCCCAGATCCTCCGCCTGCAGGCTCGGGGCTCGCGACTCGCGACTCAACCCGCGAGGGATCGGAGGGAGGGTTCCTTCAACGCACTGTTTGTGGCTTTGGGTGGTCCTCGTATTTTCCGAGTCCCAAACAAAGGTACATGTGTTCTTGCTCTGGCTTGCGGTGTTCCTCATGTTTTTGATGGGATACTGTTGACCGCAGATGAATCAACCGCAGTTTAATAGGGGGGTGTTCCCCTCCAATAGTGATGATTTCCCACGAAATCCAGGGACACCCCCATATTAATAAACGGCTTAGGGGCTTATCAATCCGGGGTCAACATTGCAGCGGCTTGCCTGGGGGGCACTGCAGGCGCAGCCACTCTCCTTTCGCCCTCAGGAAGCCGCAACGCGGGCGGAGGCTGAGGGCATCTCTTGTGAGGCGCGGTCTGGAGAGGTCTTCGTTTGAAGCGGATTCGAAGCCCAAGGAGCCACGTTGGGGCTGTTGCGTCAGTTCTCCCTCGGTTGAGTTTGGTGACTTGTTGAAGTGTCTAGAAGCCGTGCTTTCGAACAAGCTTTAATCTGCACTGACTTGTTTATGAGAAAACCAATGGTAAGAACTGCCCATTTCAAGGGTTGTGACCCATTTGGCTACAATATTCAGAGGGAGCCACCTCACAAGTGGTGGACATGACTCCCGCCCGAATGACTATTTTGGGGGTCTCTATCTTGGGCTACTGCGACCCCATGATCAGAATCCGTGGACGGACTTTGTGCCAAACCTTTAGCCTTGCGGGTTTTGCAGCGAACCCGTTCTGCCGTAGGGTGTGGCTGGTCAGTGTTGGATCCCCTTGATTTGGATGTGTTTGTTGGAGTCAACAAATGAAGCCCCAAGAGTTTCACTTGTTGATGCCTGCAAGGTAGGCTGAAGTGAAGAACAAAAACTCTGCCTGGTTTGGATTGGTTCTGTCCTTGTTCGTTTTAGCGGGAGAAGGTCTTGACTTGTACATATGTCGGTCTTTGGCGTTCCGAAGCAAGACCATGACTCGGGCAAGCCCAATATCTTATATGCATTTCATGGAGATGCAACGAAAGGCACTGGTTGGAGAAAGGCTATCATTGCGGGGACTTGATGTGAAGAGGGCGTGTGCTAACATTGGGCTCGCCGGCTCGCCTTCCAAACTGTGGGATGTTTTTTCATGCTTTGTATATGCGGTAGGTATCATTTGTGCCCATGGAGTCTGATGCATTAGGAGGGTTGCAGGCGAGATAGTTGATTGGACACCCATCCATTTGGAAGCGGGTGCCAAATTTGAGGACACGTGCCACTTTGGCAACCGGACGTTGGGTTTTTGTTCATTGGGTCGAAGCTCACTTGACCCACATCATGATCCTCTGCGCACATATTCCAACAAAAACATGCTGTTTGGGGGAAGGGGGGGGGAGCCACAGGAATTCCATTCACGGTTCGAGTCTTCTCTTAGGGGAAGAGAAACATCAGGGACCGCTTTTTGAGCTTGGGGCAAAACTACGAAATCACACGCATTCAGATCATCGACTTGCAGACCATCGTCCCTTGGGATGTGGACACCGTGCAGGCCGGAGGGTGTCTCGAAACCGAGCACCCATTCGTTTTGGTTCCTATGTTCCTATTGGAGAAGCTAAAAGTAACCTAACCATTTTCGGGGACTTTTTGTTTTGCAAACCGCCCAAGTTGCACTTGTTGAATCTGTTAGTTCATTATGTATCGAGCCCTTTATTGATGTTGTTGTTATTATTAATATTATTTTTACTATTATTATCTATATTTGTGGTTGCGTATTTACCTACCGAGTCAGTTATTGATGCACGTTGGTTACTTATTGCTTGTTTATTTACTGCTTGTTTAAATGCATGTATGTGTTTGCTTGTTTGTTTGTTTGTTTGTTTGTTTGTTTGTTTGTTTGTTTGTTTGTTTGTTTTTTGTTTGTTTAAGCACACAAGCAAGCAAGCAAACAAACAAGCAAAACAAACAAACAAACAAAAAAAGACAATCAAACAAACAAACAAACAAACAAACAAACAAACAAACAAACAAACAAACACACAAACAAACAAACTAACTAACTAACTAACTAGCTAACCAACTAACAAACAAACAAACAAGCAAACACACAAGCAAACAAACACACAGACAAACAAGCAAAGAAGCAAACAAGCAAAGAAACAAACAATCAAATAAACAATCAAGCAAAGAAACAAACAAGCAAGCAAGCAAGCAAGCAAGCAAACAATCACACAACCAAACAAGCAAAGGTCTGTTTGTTTGTTTGTTTTTTGTTTGTTTGTGTGTGTGTGTTTCTTTCTTTCTTTCTTTCTTTCTTTCTTTTTTTCTTTCTTTCTTTCTTTCTTTCTTTCCTTCCTTCCTTGCTTGCTTGCTTGCTTGCTTGCTTGCTTGCTTGCTTGCTTGTTTGTTTGTTTGTTTGTTTGTTTGTTTGTTTGTGTGTGTGTGTGTTTGTTTGATTGTTTGTTTGCTTGCTTGCTTGCTTGCTTGTGCTTCTTTTGTTTGTTTGTTTATAGTAATATATATATATAATATGTAATATATATATATATTCTGGACCCAGGACATCCATGTTTGTTGTTTGTTGCACGGTTCAATCTGACCAGGTGCGATTTTCATTCCGCTCTCCAGGGGTATGGACTCGCTAAGTTTCCCGCTTCCCATGTCTAGGGCAACAGCACGTAGACTTGACGTTGACCCCATGTGATCGGCCAGGCGTCCGTGGAGAAAACGGGGCGCCTGATCGTGGCACATGAGGCCCCGCCATGGCTCGCGAACCGGGCGTCTGACGAGAAAACCAGGTGATTTTAGGGAACCCCCACATTGACGTAGCGTTTTTGTTTTTTCGCTGGTTTTCAGGGATCCGACTCGCCGACTCAATCCGGGAATCGGGGTCGATCGATGGTGTTCAGATAGGCGCCTCAAACCAACGGCTTCGGAGCAGAGATCTCCTCCAAGATCCAGGCGCGCGGAGACATGCGAGACATGGCCGTGGGTCAACACCGAGGGGATCCCATTTTGGTTGGTAGGTGACTTTACCACCCATTTCGGAACCTATTTTAGTTGGGATTGTTCGCTTGGGGTACGGGGTTTTGACCCATAGAAATGTTGAACCCAACAAATTGAGAAACGGAGTAACTCATTTCCTGAGTTCCTGGACTTTTAAGCTTTTGGGTTTGGACCATTTTAGTGGTAAACAAGAAGTTTGGACTATCCACTCAAAAAGTGAGGGTTACACCTTTTTGGGTTCTGTGTTCGTTTTTGGAGGTTGCCAGAGCAAACGTTTGTCAAATGATCAGCAATCTACGGTCCATTTAGGGTGTTGCACTTTTTTTGAGGTTACACCTTTTTGGCAGGTTGTACAAGGAAACCAACAGGAAAACCAAAAAGAAAAGAAGACACAAATGACCTTTGAGGAAACTGGCAACCAGGACCCCTCATAGTTCCTTGCTGGGGAGGGTACACCAGAAGGGAGTGAGAGAAAGTATGGTCAGGTGGTCCTTTCTTGGGTTCGTGTGGTCCAAGGTCAAATGGAGCAGGTTGTGTGTCACTGTATGTATGTAATGTATGTATCTATGTATTTATGTATGTATCTATGTATTTATGTATGCATGGATGTATGTATGTATTTTTGTATGTATGTATTTTTATGTCTATGTATGAAAATGTACGCGCATTTTCATGATACCAAGGTACGTATTCGGTACAGTTCTGAAGTAGTCATGTAACCCACGCCCATATCGCACAGACGCCCCCCCCCCATACCCCGCCCATAACCCCCCGCCAATAATGTACAGCGCTGGGGAGGGGTGGCCCCTGTGGGGCTTGGTGATATCGCAGCCTCCCGCTTGCCAGGAGCGCTGCTTCCTTCACCTCGCCAGCCCCATCCAGAGAGTAACTGGCTGCGAGCTCAGAGATCACGCGAACAGGCGCCCCCCGCGGTTTCTTGGGTAAGACGAGTGATTCATCCTCTTGTGGATTCCTGTTCCTGCCTGGGAAGTGTAGTAAGTTTGGTAAAACAGGTGTGTCCTTGTGATTTGAGACGTTGAGACAGATACGTACAACTAAAACACAGCAACACAATCACGCAATCAATGTATCTCAGTCAGTCGTCAGTCAATAAATCAGTCATTCAGTCAGTCAATCCAGCAAGCAAGAGCAATCCATGCACCCATGCATGCATCCCGGCCAGCCATCCGTCCGTCCGTCCGTGCGTCCGTCCGTCCAGCCGTCCAGCCTTCCAGCCATCCAGACCAATAGATCAAGCAAAGCAGTCAGCAGTCAATCAATCACAATCAAACCATCAATCGACCAATCGATCCATCAATCAGTTCATCACTCACTAGCAAGCAAAATACATTGACCGTCATTCAATCCATCGATCCATCGATCCCGAATCAATCACTCAATCACTCAATTAATCTGTCAAGCAAGTAAGCGATCAATCAATACACACACACAAGCAAAAACATGCAAACAAACAAACGAGCAACCAAATAAGCAAACGAGCAAACAAACAAACACACAAACAAACAAGCGAAACAAACAAACAGGCAGGCAAGCAAACAAACAACCAACCGACGTACAGGCAGGCAGGTAAACGGACATTCAGCTTACAGGCAGGCAGGTAAACGGACACACAGACACGATAGACAGGCAGACAACCAAGCAAGAGCATATATCCAACCGGCTAACTACCCAGATAACACACAGAGAGAGCAGCAAATAAACACACAATCAATCCAACAAACACACAAATGACTTATGCCTCCAGGGGACAGTGCTGCAATGTGGACGCTGCGAGGCTATGACACGCACTTCCCATACGCGTGGGAGGCATGTAGCCGCGGTCGATTTGGCGTCGGAAAGCGCATGTGGTTGTCGCTGCTCAGCCCGACCCCAACCTTGGTGAAAGTTGAGGGACAACATCCACTTCACGCCACCCCTTAATACTGGCATAAACTCACAGGACATGCGTGCAGAATCGTAGAACCCATTTGTTCTGTCACCCGGTGAACGGGTCACCCAATAAACCACCTACGTGAGAACAGCATGTCCATCAGTTTCAAGAAACCTTGAAGTTCCAGAGTCGCTTCGCATGACACGCCATTTGTGGGATGGATGCCAGGAGTTCTATGTTCCTTCCGCCGCCCGAGTTCTGGCTGCTATCAAGGCCAAGCTTGCCCAACGCATGTGAAAAGGTGCCATTGTTGTTTGAGGAGTTTGCGCTGCACGTGTGGATGAGAAGCTGGAAGGTTATGTGGTCAGCGGTATCCTGTCAGGCCAGTGTCTCCTACTGACCTGCATGCCATATTGTATTTCACTCAGCTCAAATCAAAAGATTGAGAGCTAGCCAGACCTAGGTTTGGCATTGGCCGTCCAGGCCCAAATCTCCATGGTATTTTCCGTAGCAAGCGCGGTGAAGTTTTCGATCCCGAGTCAGAAAGGAAAATCAGTGCGTGTGTGTGTGTGGCACGTGTGTGGTGTGTGTGTGTGTGGTGTGTGTGTGTGTTGTGTGTGTGTGTGTGTCTGTGTCTGTGTGTCTGTGTGTCTGTGTGTGTGTGTGTGTGTGTCTGTGTGTGTGTGTCTGTGTGTGTGTGTGTCTGTGTGTCTGTGTGTCTGTGTGTGTGTGTGTGTCTGTGTGTGTGTGTCTGCGCGTGTGTGTCTGTGTGTCTGTGTGTGTCTGTGTGTGTCTGTGTGTGTGTGTCTGTGTGTGTGTGTCTGTGTGTGTGTCTGTGTGTGGGTGTCTGTGTGTGTGTGTGTGTCTGTGTGTGTGTGTGTGTGTGTCTGTGTGTGTGTGTGTCTGTGTGTGTGTGTCTCTCTGTGTGTGTGTGTCTGTGTGTGTGTGTCTGCGCGTGTGTGTCTGTGTGTGTGTGTGTGTCTGGGTGTGTGTGGGTCTGTGTGTGTGTGTGTTTGTGTGTGTGTGTGTGTTTGTGTGCCTGCGTCATGCGTGCGTGCGTGCGTGGGTGGGTGGGTGGGTGGGTGGGTGGGTGGGTGTGTCTGTGTGTGTCTGTGTGTGTGTGTGTCTGTGTGTGTGTGTCTGTGTGTGTGTGTGTGTTTGTGTGTGTGTGTCTGTGTGTTTGGGTGTTTGTGTCTGTGTGTTTGTGTGCTTGTGTGTTTGTGTGTTTGTGTTTTTGTGTTTGCGTGTTTGTGTTTGTGTTTGTGCGTGTGTGTGTGTGTGTGTGTCTGTCTTTGTCTCAGTCGGTGTCTGTGTCTGTGTCTGTGTGCGTGTGTCTGAGTGTGCGTGTGCGTGTGTGCCAGCTCACTCGGCTATGAGCTTGAATGAAGTGGTTGGTGGACATGACTCCCCACCGAATCTTGATGTCCACGATTTCGTCCCCAATCAACAAACCACACCCACTTGAAAACTCACGCCGATTTGTGGGTCCCCTAAAGGCACATCCAAATAGGACTCGGAGCCCACGACATGCTTGGTTTCCTTTTGGTTTGCCTTGGATCCAACCGAAGAAGGGCACCGTACCCTCAAGAACGACACCCAGATGTGTTTCCCAAGTGCTTCCTTGTTCCAGGGACGCTGGTTGCGACTACAAGCGCCGACGGTGCAGGTGCATTCTGGGAAGAGACATAAGTGCTCACCAAATGAGTCCCACAAAAACCAGGCGCGCCCACTGCCCATGTCCTTCACAGAAGCGAACGAAGGCGGAGGTGGCAAACTCTGGCCTGTTCGGCACAGTTGTGGCGGCTTGCTGTGTGCTTTGCCCTCAAGTAGGATTCGAGGAGGGATACATTTCTTAGTCGTTGCCCGCCGGCCGCTCACACCATGTCTGGCAATGTGTATCAACAAACTGCGATGCTGCTCAGCTGCACAGAGGACATTTTGGGATTGATCAGGGGATGACCGTAAAGCAAACCACCAAAATAAATGGCATCCTCTCCAGGTGGGAAAACTTGCCGTCATTTTGGGGGATCAACCCCATTTCAAGCCCGTCTAATTATGATAATTGCACTATGTGGCGTTTGCGTGGGCACTGGGTATGAACTGATGCTCATCAAATCAGCCTTGTTGGGCTATTTGGCGCTTATTCAAGCTTGAAGGGAGATTGAGGGCAACATGTCCCTATATGATTTGACTTTGCAAATGATCAGAGCGGTTCACAGTCAACTTTGAGCTCCGTCAATTTCACACAATTTGGGCATTCAAGCGACCCTGTTTCCCAAGGCCAAAAGGAAACCCACCCATGTTGGGTGTTGTTGTTCAGATAAATGCAAAAAGGGTGGGTTTGGTGGTGTTCCGGATGGGTTTCCCCTTTTGCCCACAAGAACTAGGTAGGGACCCGTTCAAATCTCCAAACCACCAAGCCATCCAAGGGTTACTTGACAATATGGGTGATTATCTTTTTGTGTTTTTTCGGGAACACCCCAAAATGCCGGTTTTCCTTTTGAAAAACCACAACACCAATCCAACCACCAAGCCACCGGGCTGGCTGATTTTACCTTCCGAGGCTTTTGGACGATCCCGCTGTGCGGACTTCGTTGGTGACGTTGGAGAACACCAGCAAGGACAGCTTCAATCGCGGCTCGGCAATGGATTGGTCTGTGTCAAAATCTAGGTCCCCCAGTAGTGCCCTTTTACCGTTTCTTTTTTGGTTGGGAGGGTTCCCCTACTAAAATAGACTACAGAAAAAAGGGTACCCTTATCCCAACCTCTACTGGAGGACCTAGAAATGGGTGCGTGTCAAATGGAGCCCCCCCCAAAAGAAACAAAATCCACGGCTTGCTTTTGGCGTCCCGTTCGCAAACCTATTGAATGGGAGTTGAACCCCACACAAATGGTTGGTTTCCTTTTCTCTTCAAACCAAAGGAAAGGTGCCCTAAGACACCCTCGGATCTGCTGCGAGCGATTCTACCCCCTGTCTTGGGGGTAGAAGGAGCTGGGGCGGGGTTTGGAATTGGTGTACCTGTGTGGTAAGGAATTGACAAAACAACACGTCGGATCTATCCTCCCAGCTATAAGAAATGACACTAATTACGCGGGGAGATTTTGTCAAACTCATGCAGCTTTTTGCAAATGAGGGTGAAGCAAGCCGACATGTCAAGAGACATGTTGGGAATGCCCCACACTGTGCACGCAATCCTTCTTTGAGAACAAGGAAGCTCACTCCGCTGGTAGCTGGTAGCATATGGGCCCTCAAGTTTAGGGGTACCCTTTGATCAGCTGGGATGTTCTAAAAACATGTCGCAATCAAAGAGCACCAGTGTAGAGCCCCTGAGCCCCTATGCTTTGACCATTCTTTCTGGTGAATTCGGAGTCTCAAACTAGGGGACCCCGTTTTGGATAGTTTTGTGAAACCAAAAGGAGACAACCTACCTGAAAAGGTCTTAATTTTGCCAACATGGAAGCCATTTTCGCTAGCCTTTTCACGCTAGAAAGAAGCTTTCACCTGCTTTAACCCAAGTGTAAGGGTCTCCCAGTCAGGCAAGTTGTTCAACGCCGGCATGGCCTGAAAAACATGGTTCACGCATTGCAATGTATCGCGGAGGTTGTGCCGAAGCTGTATTCAATTTACATCGGCAACGTGGAAGCTCAAAAAAGGACCCTTTGGAAAGAGTCCTGCTTAAAGGCTTCCATTTGCTTAAGACTCTTTGTTATTTTCCCCTGTCGGTTTGTACAGGGAATCTGTCACTATTGGAAATATGTTTTCTTCCAGGGGCGAAAAAGCAAATGGAGGAAGGGCTTGCGAGGCCAAGGACGGGTATTAGTATATGTATGCATTGTTGGACTGATGAGGCAGCGGACAGTACCAGAAAATCTGTCGAAATTGCTGGTTGGCGGGAATCGGGTTGGGTGTTTTGGCCCCTGTCGATGTTTGGTGGCACTATTGCTGGTTTCTCATGTTATGGCCACGTCTTGGACACAAGATACATTTGTCGCTGTTCTGGGCTTGATGTTGCGGTGTGAGTGGAATACATTTAGAGCCATCGCAAGAGGAGCCACAGGAGGGATGCGGCTCTTAATTTATTGATGCCCCTGAATGCCTGCCGGTTGTCACTAATCTCTTCCCCCTACTAATAAATACGCCCCCCCCCCTATTATAAACAAATTCTTCTCATCTTCTTTTTGAATTGGGGTTTTTGGGGTTGGGTTTTTTTGCTTTTCCAACAATGCGAGGGTTCACATAGGATTTGGAGGCAATGGATTGAATTGTAAGGTCCTCGAGTAAGCGGTTTAATAAGGAAATTTGATGTATCATTCTATTTGTTTTTCAGTTTACTGGTTGTTTGTTTGCAGCCAGGCAGGTTAATTAGCCAGCATGTACGGGAGAGAGACAGTCGCAGCTAGACACTACCGCGGGGAAGCCAGCTTTTGGGGAAGCAACCTTTTAAGGAATTCATCTTTTGAGGAACCAACCTTTTTAAAAGTGGGGCTGGAAGCTTGTTAAAAGTGCCCCCTAAGAAGGATTCCAAGACTTGAGTATTGGTTTAGTATTGGCGCAATGGAAAATCAATTGTGCGGAGTAAAAAATCTGGTCCCGGGCCCCGGATTTCCAATTTTTATTAATGGGGGTCATTCATTAATAGGGGGAGCGGATTACCAGCCACGATTGGGTTGCAATGGCTCCCCCTGCTATGGCTTTGCATCAATGAATGAGACTGAGGAAAGTGCAAGATCATTTGCACCATGGGGCCCTGCTGCTGGGAAGTGCCGATGCTCACAAAGCTCATTGATTCTCGGCTTGACTGACGATGGACGGCCGTCGCTTCGATTTGGATTGGAATGTCAACAGGGAACCCATGGGAACCGTTTAAACATGGTTGTTGAGCATTGACGCCCTTATTGGATAATGTCCACCAACATGCTCAATTTTGATTCATGCCCCTATGCTGGGTTTGCATCAGTTGACTCTGCAGGCAGGGCTACTGGCAGATTTGCAAGGTGCTTGGTCAGCTTGGAAGTCGACTTGGGCTGGCTTGGTGTTTTTGCACCATGTGAGGTTTGGCCAAAATTGCCAGTCTGTGGTTCTTTTGGGACATGGGCAGCTCATGAATTTTCCCAAGAGCAACCAGGGCGGCTCACTGATTGTCTTCTGTCCTTTCGGGGAAAGATTCTGCTCGAGGCTCGTGGGTCATGTGATGCTGCTCATGCGCCTGTCTAGTTTCCTGCGAGCTCACCGATTCTGGGGTACAGCGAGCTCATCATGATGTAGGGTCCTTTACTTGGGAATCCAATTCTTATTTTACATTTTGAACATACTTCAGGACAGTACAGATAAATGAGCCGCCTTTGTTAAAAGGGAGCTACGACCCCTGACCCCGCATATCATGCATTGCTGATCCAAGGAGCAAGGAATGAACATCGCCCGCCTCAACTTCTCCCACGGAGATCATGAGGCTCGTGGGTCCTGGACTTTGCTGCTCTTTGTCTTAGTGGTAAAACAAAAATTTAGCGTTGTTTCGCGAATTCAATCAGGACATGAGGTGTGGGTGTGACTGTGCCTGTGTGTGGTTTGTGTACTTAGCTTGCTTGCTTGCTTGCTTTGCTTTGCTTTGCTTTGCTTTGCTTTGCTTTGCTTTGCTTTGCTTTGCTTTGCTTTGCTTGTTTGTTTGTTTGTTTGTTTGTTTGCGTGTCTGTGTGTTTGGGTGTATGGTGTTTGTTTGCTTGTTTGTTTGTGTGTGTTTGGGTGTTTGGGTGTTTGGGTGTTTGGGTGTTGGTGTGTTCCGTGTTGGCGTGTTGGCTGGCTGGCGCACTGGCTGGCTGGTTGGTGGGTTGGTGGGTTGGTGGGTTGGTGGGTTGATGGGTTGTTGGTGTGTGTTGGTTTGCTGGGTTGTTGGTTTGCTGGCTTGCTGGTTTGCTGGTTTGCTGGTTTGCTTGCCGGCCTGCCTGCCTGCCGGCCTGTTTGCCTGCCTGCCCGCCTGTTTGTCTGTTTGTTGGTTTGTTTATGTGCGCTCCAAAAGGGACAAGGGCGATCCTTTTGAGATTCCCGCATGGGAGACATGAATGGGATTTTGCCACAACAGACAAGGAAGTGGCTGCGGGTGCTTCGAGAGGCTGGTCTTCCAAGACCCTTCCATCCACTCCCAGGATTGTTGCAAGAAGATGCAAGAAGGTATCACCTTTCGGATCGATTCAATTGTTGCTCTTGGTGGGCTGTGTTCTTCTCCGGTTTGTGCAGGGGGTACTACCGTTGCGGGCAAATTATGTTCAGCTCCCCGATTCGGGGATGAAACCAGCTCAGTCATGAAGGTTCTTCACTCGGGGATTCCTTATTTCCAGCTTGGAATGAATAACATCGATCAGAATTGTCTGTTGATAAATGAATGGACTTGTTATACGCATAGTACCAGTTGCAATATCTAGCGTCCAATCACAAGTGCAATGAAATCATATGGGTGTGGCTCAAAAATTAAAGAGCTGCGGTTACGCAGGCTTTGATCTTTGTGGGGCCCAGAAACGAGTACGAGTACCACTGTTTTGAGCCACAGTCATATAGTGATACTCATAATTCAGTAATCTCCAACATGTCCATCTAGTCCACTAAATTTCAGTCATGTGGCTAGATACTAGCGTGCCTTTCGCGCTTTTAGCTTGCCAGACCCATGGCGCGACTGTGGGTCGCATCCGAGAGGCGAGGCTTTGGGGTCGATGTTTTTTTCCGGCTCGAGGTTTGGCTGGTTGGGGCGAACAGGGGGGCGGGAGGATCGGGGTTGGGGGCGGGGGAGGGAGGGGGAGGTTCCGGGTTGGGAGGGTTCTGGGTTTGGGGGCGAGGGGGAGTTTTTTTTCTTTCTTCTCCGGTGATTCCTGCCTGCGGATTCCTGTCGGGTTTCGTGTGCTTTGGGTCAGAACGGCTGGTTGATTTCCCCTGAAACCAAGTTACCCCAAGGGGTGCCGTCCAACACCAGTGGCGCCCAGATCACCTCCCACTGGTGGCTTCCGTCAGTGGGAGGTGTACATGGACCTGGTGTTGGGCGAAATGTGGCACTAGGGGACCAGGCCCATGCTAGAAGACACCCACAGAAATTTACGTTCATGTTGAATATGCCAAGCCCACAGTCTCTCCCTGTGCCTTTCGTGATCTTCAGATTTGGTGTGAGGCCTCCTTTCCAGGTGTGGGAGCCGGTTGAGGGAGCTTGAAGCATGAGGCCATGCTTGGAGCTGAGGCTGGCATAGGCGAGCCCTGCTGCTGAGACATGTTCGTAGTGTTCACATTGTGTAGCAGGGTTGTTCTTGGTTTCTGTTCAACTTGTGCTTCATTTCATGCCCAAGTCCCTTCTCCAGGGAAATCAAGACCCGTTAGCATCTTAGAAGCTTTTACCCATGGAAAGGTGGCGCAGATTTCCGCATAACTGGCTCTTTCAGCATCAGATCTGAGCACTGCTTTCATCTGAGCTGGTTTACGCCCAAACCACCTGGATTTACTGGCATTACAGCCGCTAGCCACCATATAACGGGTGGTTTTCCGCGGTTTCTCACCCCTATGTTTTTTACATGAGCACTATGACAATCAGGTCTTTTTTGTGTAGCTCGCTCGAGGCGTGCAAGAACATTCCAGAGAAGCCGGTGGCCATCCTCCTGGACACCAAGGCGTGGTTCATCATGGGGTCTCTCCAGAGCTTTTCAACCAAAAGGGGGAGTAGGCGAGCTGCAAGTTAAGCGTTGTCATACGTTTACATAGGAGATGTGTGTGTGTGTGTGGTGTGTGGTGTGTGGCGTGTGGTGTGTTTTGTGTGGTGTGTGGCGTGTGGTGTGGTGGTGTGTGTGGTGTGTGTGTGTGTGGTGTGCGTGGTGTGTGTGGTGTGTGTGTGGTGTCTGTGGTGTGTGGTGTGTGTGTGTGTGTGGTGTGTGTGTGTGTGGTGTGTGCGTGTGTGTATGCTGTGTGTGTGTGTGTGGAGTGTGTGGTGTGTGTGGTGTGTGTGTGTGTGGTGTGTGTGTGTGGAGTGTGTGGTGTGTGTGGTGTGTGTGTGGTGTGTGTGTGTCTGTGTGTGTGTGTGGAGTGTGTGGTGTGTGTGGTGTGTGTGTGGTGTGTGTGTGTGTGTGTCTGTGTGTGTGTGTGTGCGGGTGGGTGGGTGGGTGGGTGGGTGGGTGGGTGGGTGGGTGGGTGGGTGGGTGGGTGGGTGGGTGGGTGGGTGGGTGGGTGGGTGGGTGGGTGTGTGTTTTTAAGGATGCCGTCTTTTTCGGGTGGTTTCAAAGGGGTTGCGTTGGTTTTGTAGGGCTTGTGTTTTTTGTAAGGGTACCGTCTTTTTGGGTAGTGTGAAAGGGGTTGTGTGTTTTTAAGGGTACCGTCTTTTCGGGTGGTTTCAAAGTGTTTTCTTCTTCTTTTTAGCGTACCGTCTTCTTGTCTTTTTGGGTGGTTCAAGGGACACCAAAAGGCAACCGCCCATGTTCAGGATACCACGATGTTCGAGCCATATTATGGAAAGCTGCATTGAAAGTAAACGGTCTGTGCTGGAAGCGATTTGTTTTCCAACTTTCATGGCGAGACAAGGACACCTAGGGAACCAACATGAAACCACCCATGGGGCCCCTACTTGTTGACTTGGATAGTAGCTTACCATAGAGATGGGGCATAACTGACATAACTGCAATGTGTGGTGAAGTGGCTTGGATTTACGCTTTCCACACACGAAGTTGGCTCCAAAATTAGGAGGGCTGTTTGTTGGACCCATAATATATTGCATATGGAAACCATTCCTGACGCTGCTGTGCAAAGTGAGCAACGACTGGTGTTGTTTCTTTTCCTAGATGAGGTGCATATCATCACTTCCTGCCTGTGCTGGTTTCAGATTTCAGGCCAGACCCAGGCCTTCAGAAAACGACAAGCAACAATATGTTTTGTTGTTTTTAATTATAAAACCTCAATACAACCAAACCCTAGCCTTTAGGAAAAACAATTTCGTTGCTGATTTAAGAACCAACCCAGAGACCCTGGGGTGAAGAGAAAGCAATACTTGTGTCTTCTCGTTAATACACCACCCAATGCAACCAGACCCTGGCCTTGAGAAAAAGCAATTGTTAGTGTGTAGGTGTGTGTGGGTGGGTGGGTGGGTGGGTGGGTGGGTGAGTGGGTGGGTGGGCGGGTGGGTGGGCGGGTGGGTGTGTGTGTGCGCGCGCGTATGTGTGTGTGTGTGTGTGCGCGCGTGTGTGTGTGTGTGTGTGTGTGTGTGTGTGTGTGTGTGTGTGTGTGTGTGTGTGTGTGTGTGTGTGTGTGTGTGTGTGTGTGTGTGTGTGTGTGTGTGTGTGTGTGTGTGTGTGCGTGTGTGCGTGTGTGCGTGTGTGTGTGTGGTGCGCGCGCGCGTGCGTCCGTACATCCGTCCGTACATGCGTCCGTACATCCGTGCGTCTGTGCGTCCGTGCGTCCGTGCATGCGTGCGTCCGTGCGTCCAGAGTGCGTGCATGCGTGTGTGTTTGTGTGTTTGTGTGTTTGTGTGTTTGTGTGTTTGTGTGTTTGTGTGTTTGTGTGTGTGTGTGGATGTGTGTGTGTGCGTTTGTTTAAGGAACACGCCAATGCAACCAGACACTGGCCTGTAGAGAAAAACACATCGCACACGTTGTTTATGTTTAGCGCCATGCAACCAGACCCTGGCCTTAGAAAGAAAGACGCAACCTGTGGTGTCATCGTCCATGAAGCCAGACTCTCCATGAAAAGGAGGCTCACAAACGATCTGTTTCTAAAGCGAGCGAAATCCAATCGTTGCAGGGCCCGGAGATCAGGACCGGCTTCTTTAAGGCGCGGGCGCGCGAGTGTAACATCATGGACCCGTTGCGGTTGGACTCGGCAAGCCCATCGAAGTTTCGGTGTTTCCCACGAAGGTGTCCGACTTGTTGGTAAACAAGGCAGGAACACATGCTAAATAATACCATGTATTTGGGTTAGGGACTGTCATGAACCCGACGTGTGTTAGAAGTGTTAGGCAACCAATGTAAGAGAATACTATGGAGGGAACTAGCACATGGGGTGGTGTTTTGACCAGCCACGTAGCCCAACCCCTCCCAGTAGGGTCGCGGGGGCAGCGGACGGTTGGCGGCGGTGCTTTGCTCAGCCGGAAGATAGGCAGGTGGTCTTGCTGGGTGCTGCAATGCTCCTAGGAAGGCCATTGATCATCAAGATGACGAACCAGCACATTGTACATGCAGGTGAGACGCGCCCTCCAGGCCAGGTCTGGAAAGCTGGAAAAGCCTTAGGGTGTGGGTCCATGGCGGCTGCGTGGATGGTGATGTCAACATCTTGGCGCCAAGAGGCCTTGTACAGTGGCAATTCAGCCAATGTTGCACAAAGAGCAAGAGGGCAACAACAGACTGAACGGAGCATTGGGCTGATTGAAGTCGCCTGGAACGAAGGTCTCACAGCCAAGCAGCTGGCCAGGAATGGCTGGCTGGCACTTGTTGTCAGTGCTGGGGGTCTACCTACCGCGGCCTTGTGACTGGCGCGCCATTGCAGCTTGTTGGCTGTTTGACTCTTTTGGAGAAGCCTTTGCTTCACACTGTGTGTGAAGCCCATGCTTCCTTGGACTGCGATAACGGCCGGGGTCCTTGATCGCCTGCGCTGCATGAGGATGACGCAACGTGGTGTCTAGGCTGATGATGCACGCCTAGTCTCATAGGGAACGCAACTGCGTTCCAGCGTGGCTGAGCGGCTGCAGTCGGTTTTGTTTTTGGCACTGCAGGGGCCTGTAATCAATGCGGCTATTTGTAGCGAACAGGTGGCTCTGGCTCACCACGTGTGTGGTGCAGCTTGGCAGGCGTCACCTAAGAAAGCATGCATATATTGACGGAGGACTTGGCGTTTCGTGTTTGGACTTGGGGCACTGGGATGGAGCATTGGCGCGTACTGACCATGTTCACAGACATCCATGGGTCAGCGTTTCAGCGTTTGGGATCATCGGAGAGAGCCTTGCCCATGACTGAACTTGCTTATGCACCAATTGGATGTCTCCCCACGAGTCTTGGGCGAAGGGGTTGGCCACGTGGTTGCGTAGCACTTCAGCTGCCCTCGATTCCAATGACTTGTTCGGATGCATCTTGAGTACCCCAGAACGGTTTGAGAAACCTTTGATCAGAACCCCTTGCAAGAAAGTTCTTGGAACCTTTTGGGGGGAGCTTTGGTTTTTGCCTCTCCTTGCCATACTTAAACTTGCCTGTTGCTCTTTGCGTTTCTTTAATGTTCGGCTTCGGCCAGCCCAAGGTTGCCTTTCAGGCAAGCAGGTAACATGGAATCTGACAGACCCAGAGGCAACTGGTCTTAGGCAATCCTTTGCTTCAGGTTCGGAAGCTTCGCTTTGCGTCAACTGCCTCAGCCAAAGCCGACTCTTAGGACGAGCTGGCGGGGGGCAAGATCAACTTGAAGGAGGGCCAGGAGCTGAAGCTGGTCACCGACTACAGCTTTAAGGTCGCGCCGGCCAAAACAAATGGTCATACAGTGCAGGGTGGGTGGGGGGGGTCGGGTGGGGGGGGGGGGCAGAACTCAACATGACGTATATATTTTGTTTATACTTGTTTTTTGTTTAGGAACCCCCCTAGAATAATAGAAGAAGACAGACCCAAGCAAACAATTTCAGCTGCAAGGTCAACGAGTTGAATGTGACTCATTTCAGCCGTTGCAAGGGAATCTCTTGCGCTCGAATTCAATCACTATTCGATACCGTTTGCCTGAACTCCAACGAATCATTTGACTGGGGCTTGTCGCAAAGTTGGTGGGGGAATCGCCTAGATGGGCGTTTCCCCTTTGGTTTTCCTTCAAGGCAACTCCAAAAGCTGCTTCCTCAAATGCCCCCCAGTCCCTCAAGGACCCGACTTCTGTCACTGGCTGCCTTTTCAACTACCCTTAGCAGTAAAACAGCCCTGAAAGACCCTCATCCCGTACCCCACATCTCCGCTTTTCGTTCAGACATACATTGGCAGAACCAGGTTTTCCGTGGGAAATCGCCTTTTTTGTCAGGGATTGACATGATACCCCAACATACCCTGGAAAAATTGGGTATTGGGTGTAGAGGTTGCTGCATGGCTGAAACTTCGGGGTGCTAATCTTTGCGTCGAAAGCGTACCAGGGCGACGATAAGACCCTGGCGGTGTCGTACCAGCAGCTGCCTGGTGCAGTGAAGCCAGGCTGTCGGCGAGCGTGCAAGCCGCATGGGCCGATGGGAGCGGTTCCGCAGGGGTATGAGCGATCGTCCTGTACTTGATCCAATTCTCATCCGATGTTTTGGCAAGATTAGTGAAACTAAACATGTGGACTCACTGGCCCACTTTTGCAGCTGCTGGTGCCACTTTGAACGGCATTTGCACTTATGATTCAGGGCGGCATTCGGGTTCCCTTGTTCCCCGGGACGAACAAAAAACCCTGCACAGTTTGGGGGCACGCCTTAACATGTAGAGGGGTAGGCCGGGTTGTTGTAAGACAAATAGTATCAGACAGGCTACAGGTGAGCCTTTGACATGATGTTCTTGTCGACCTGACAACAAAACCGACAGCAGATGGCCACGATGAGTAAGGAAAAACTTGCAGCAAGGCTCTTGCCCACGGAAAGCTGCATGGTAGAGATAAGCCTAGCTACACGTTGACGTAAAGGACTACACGAATGATGATTGGTACACTGCAAGCCGCAAGAGAAGACTACTGGACACTTCAGGAACACCGCTACGGGAAGACTACTGAAAGCTGAAGGCTACAAGAAGTTGCGTAGACAACGATAGCTCAAAACACTGAAAACCGAAGAGGAGGACAAAAAGGGCGACAAAGATTGAAAGGGAGCTCTTACTTTGCCACACGCTTTTTTCCTCACGCCTGGACCAGGTGTGTTTCCCCTCACCCCGTGGTAGGCTGCTCTGGAATCCGGAGGGTTGCAAATCTGAGTCGCCACACCCAATGGAAGCTGAATAGTTTCGATTTTGAAGTTCTCTTGAAATGGCCAGGCGTCCACTTCCATGGGCAAATCATAACGACGTCACATTCTGGGGCTTTGCCACGTCACCCATGAAGCTTTGTTTAGGCCCTCCCTTTGTTGGTTGGCGAATTGCCATAGTTTGCCTGCAATTCGATTGTTGGAAAAAAGGGTGCCCTCACCGAAAATGGTTGGCGATTGTGTAAGTCCCACCATTTCACTGAGTGTCCACCAGAGAGGGTGCCTCATTCAAATTCATCCCCAGGTGGATGGGGCTTTTGCTCGCTGTTGCATGGGGCGTTTTGTGCTTTTTTGATGGAAGATCGTCCGGATTTTCTGGCGTCAGTGGCCAGGCAGCATCATTCTGGCAGCGGATGGCTCTTTGTCTCTGAAGGTGAAGAGCTGTGGTTCGGACCACGTCATCACTGAGGCGCGGCTTCGAGCTCGCAGGGAGCTGGCCGGCGTTTGGCGGTCAGTGTGCTCACACTCTCAAATGGCTCGATCAAGCTACCAGCCGATGGTCCATGTGGGACGAACACGTTTGTACTCACACAATTTGCCCACAACACCCAACAACTGTCCTGTGTGGCAAATACATATTGTGACCGTGGCACAGTTCGGCGGCGGCGTTTTTGAGTTGCTACTGGCCTTGTGAGTGTTGTTTTATGGGAACAACCGGGTAGTTAGGTATTCCCCCAACAAAGAATGCTAGCTATGGGTGGAATTAAAACTACCCACTCCAAGAATCCCGAACAACCTTTGGTGAGAAGGTTCAGACAACGTTTCCGGTGTGAAAAGATGTATGGCCAACGAAGTCGTCTGCGGAAGGTGTCAGCTTTTCCCGAGTGAGTATGAAGTTGTTTGGCAACAAACCCCAAAACCAATGTGCCACGGTTGCATAATTCCAACCTGTGGTCCACTACCAAGTGAGTTTTTGAACTTCGACTTTCATTTATTCAGGTCACATCTATGAAACAAACTCTACAAGCGAAGCCCAACAAAGACACACGGGGGATGGATTTATTTGCCGAGGTCCACGCAACTTTCTGCGGGGGTGGGAGAGTTGAATGGACCCCTGTGAGCAACACAAATTTATTGGTAGTCTACTGTTTGTTCGGGAAAGAGCACGGGGGACACACCCAAAGTACCCTATGAAGCCCTTTGGGGGCTGGGCTATGCTGGGCTCCAATTTTCCAATGGGAGACTCCTGTAATAGTTTGTCCTTTTGAGAGATCAAAAGGACCGTTTGAGGATGTGTCGGGACCATGGGCCAATCTCTAAATGGGCTTGAGTTTTGCTTGTTTGGGGACGCGCGAAGCAATGTTGGGGGTCCAAATCCCAGTTTTGAGACACACGCACGCATCCATCCATATCCGGGGAGGTGATGAACGACATGCAGATGGGGGAGAAGAAGAACATGAACCTGCCCGGTGTCAAAGTCGACCTTCCCGTGCTGCAGGAGCCTCGCCTCGCACGGTACCGACCGAAACAAGCCCAAAGAGACGTTCCCGCAAAAATAAAATAACATAATTATGGTAATAACGCAGCAAGCGGGTCGCATGACATGGACAGTTTTCTTGGGGGGTATCGAAGTCCCAAGATTGGTGGTTGGTTGTCTTTGTCCCTTCAGCCAAAATGGGCGGTGACGTTTCGAACAAGCCATGGGGCGGGCTTACACCATCTGAAGCGTTCTCTTTGGGTGTGTTTCCCGGCAGATTTGATTACGAGCTGGTGAAGGGAGCCAAGGAGCTGGGGGTATCCAAGTTTCTCAGTGGCAACCCTTTGAAGCAAGTCTCTAGCGTGGGATGCTAAATGTTGCACTGGGGGCACGAACCTTGGATTCTGACCCTGGTGCGCCTGGAATGAGCAGGCTTGCGCGAAGAAAACACCATCATGTGTAGCTCAGCAGCCTAGAGCAATCAGCTGACCCAGTTGCCTGATGGGTAACGCGTTGCCATTTCACTGCAGAGTGTGGCCAACGTTTGGCCCAGGTGGCACATGCACAATCACGGAGGCTCAACACCTTGGGTCGATTTGATTCTTGAAGCCTGCTGATCAAACCCGGAGTCTGAAAACACGTCCTCGCATCGAGTCTTCATGGCATGTCAAAAGGCATAAAGCGGCACCCAACGACCAAGGTCGACCAGTCCACACATTGGCCAACGATCATCATGTCACGGCAGAATTCGATCATATCTAGTACTAGCAAAGAAGCAGCTGCAAGATAAGCTCTGTCGTTTACGTTAAAACGCCAGGCTGTTCACCAGCATTGAGTTCCATCAGCTGACTGAGTGAGAAGTTTTCCGTGCATTTTGTTATGAACGAATCTGGACCTTTTCTGGGGTCTCCAAGACTACATAGTTTGTATTTTGTGGGTACCCCCTACACCAAGCAGCCTCTTTGTTTAGGGTAGTTTTGTGGAAAGCTTGGCTTGGTTTTCCAGGGTAAATACCTCCTTTTTTGACATCATACCCTGAACAACAGGTAGTACATAATGTGAACCAGAATCGGAACCCTTGTCTCATTTGTCTCCCCAGAAGTCCGGGCCATGTGGTTTTGCAACGTTTTAGCTTTCGCGCGGATCAGGACAAGGACAAGAAGGACTTGCTGGAGTTCGGGTGCCCTCAGGCCATGCATCTCACTGCCTGAGTTCGTGGACGTTAGGCTTTTTCGGGTTTGGACCATTTGAGTAAACAACAGGCTCTGGTTGTCAAAGCCGTTTTGGATCTCATTTTGGTTGGTAGGTGAATTCACCACCCATTTTAGAACCTATTTCAGTGGGGATTGGGATGTTCACTGGGGGTACGGGATTTTGACCCGTGGCCAACAAGTTTAGACGTCTTTTGGCCAATCCACTCAGGAAGTGAGGGATTAAGCCAACCCCACCCAAATGCCCGGCAGGGCTTACCAGACTTAACTTGCAGAGAGCAGAACAGTCCCGGTTGCCTACAGTTTGTGTGACCAGGGCCTCTTGGAAAAAAGCAAAAGACGCTGAACAGATGTATTTCCTTGAAGACCAGCAATTCGAAACTTCCCGTCAAATGGAAAACAAAGCAGCCATGGCTTACCCAAAGGGTGGGTTCCCTGTTTCTCAGAAGGCCACAAAGCGTGCCCCACCTCAAAAGAACGACGCCACTTCTGGGTCTACGAAAGTGTGCTCAAAAAGTACCCTCGACTCATGGTGGTTCAAGGGGTACCCCTGGACCCTTCAAATCTGACCAGTTTCAGGGACTCTGCGTGTTTCCTTTGGCCAGGGATCTCTTGAAGAAAGTAATCTTCCAGGTACCTTCTCACAGGTGCTATGTCAGTGGGAAGCGTGCCACATGGAAACGAATAGAAACCCAGAAGGGCCACCCCACCTCTTCCTCCCCCACAGAGGAAAAAACGCCTACATTTTGAGGGTCCAATTTGCATCTCAGCCCAATATTTCAAAAGTTTCAACTTGGCCCAGGCTATATTGAAACTCCAAACCAGGGCTCAGTAGATTAATTCGACATGTATCAAACTGGATGTGTCTTTTTTTAGGGATGAGGACCTCCCGCCCTCCCCTCAAATGGGTGGCGTTCCTTTTGGTTTTCCGTTTGTTTCACAACCAACACGCAACAGCCTCAAAGATTCGGGGTACCCTCAACAAAGGAAGCCGCACCGAAAAACCGGACCCCTTTCTGCCAGAACGTGGACTTCATCGCCGCGAGCTTTGTGCAGGCGGGCCTGAAGTCAGCTACGAATCAGAGCAATCCGTTGAAAGGAGAGACAACAAACACCCGGGTTGTGGGATCACTCGGAGTTTATCCTTATCCACTCCTGTGATACAAGGGAATCTCCCCCTTTGTTTGGGGTGTTAGTCTTTGGTAAGCCCTTTCTGTTTTAGCGCAGAAGTGGTCATTTCCCACTCTCTTGACAAACACTCAGGGAAACCATTACTGCTGCTTGGTCCTCCCTTGAATTTAATCCCAAGTTGACAGTGCCAGACATGTGTGGGTGACTTCTTGTTGAGGAACGGCAATGGTTCTATGTTTTGCTTGCCCCTTTGCCAAAGAGACGGAGCCGCATGGCACCTGGTTTGTTCCTTGTTGGGATTCTTCGTCCGGCCGGGTGATCCGGGGGCGCTTGGGTCGCAGAAGAAATGGGGTTTGGGTTGGGTTGGGAAACCAGAAGCACCAATGCCCCCTCAAAATCGGGGGGTCCCTTATCTTAAAATATTAAAAAGGGTCCTCTACCCACAAAACATAAGTGGCAAAATAGGTGCCCCTCTTGTGGTTTCCCTTAAAAGCAACGTCAAGGGATTCGGGGGTCACCAATTGTAAGACACACCCAACTGCAACCTCCTCAGGACGCCAAGGACATCAAGCTCATCCGCGACACCTTGGGCGTGCATGGCCGCGGCATTAAGATCATCTCGAGCCTAGGCCGAGACATGGGGTGGTGTTTTCTTTGGATGTGTGTTTGTTTGTGTTTTTCGTTGTTGCAAGAAGCTTGTTTGTTAGATGATCGTTAGATGTGTTGCATGTTCTTTTTGGTTTGTGTTTTTTGTTTGCAATGTTTTTGTTTGGCTTCATTTGGCTTATGCATGCTCATGGTTGGAGCACACCCTCCCTATTGTCAGTGAGCATGAATCTCCGATTTAGAGCAAAAGTGAAGCAGCGCTCCATAGGCTACGTACTCATCAGGTGTGAGAGGGCCTTTTTTGGCCTTTTTTTTTGAACTCCTATCCTGTTTTTGTTGGGCCCAGCCAAAAACTTTGGAGTTGAAACTTAAGGAGGTTGCACAATTTCCGTGGCAAATTCTCAGGAAGATCGAGAACCAGGAGGGCATCAACAACATTGATGAGATCATTGAGGCCACGGATGGAGTCATGGTGGCACGCTGGCGCCTCAGTGCCGTTCTCCGGGCCATTCCGGGCGGGACCCTCTTTTCAGCTGAGTTTCGGGTGACGATTCAAAAGGGGAGAAGGAATCCTTGATCTCCCCTAGTTATTTTTGCAGCAGTGAGTCGTCCTTTCGGTACTCATGCTTGGGGGAAGAACGGAGGAGTCCTGGTTCTCATCTGAATGTTTTGTCTTGGACGTAGCAGTGTTTGGCTGGCTTACCAATCTCTACATTGGGAAGCAGGAAAGAATGCGTAAAGGGAGGACGCCGCAGCCAAAGATTCAACAAGCTAAGATGTCGGTGTAGGTGGTGATATGGGCATGGAGATCGACATTGAGAAGGTTGGTCTTGTGCAGCCTCTCGGCCAAATGCTGCTTGTGCTGCCAACCTTGTTTTCATCCCGACCTGAGGAAGATGATCATCTCCAAGTGCAATCTCAAGGGCTTCCCGGCTGCAAGTTCTGGTGGCAGTGGTGGTCGGTTTCTGGCTGGCCGCCACTCTATTGTTAAATACTATGGTTGTTGTTGCCGTGTCCACCTTGCTGCTATTCTTGCTGTCGAAATCGATCTGTTTGTGCTTTTTCTCGTGCCTGTGAATGCCGTAAATGATCTTATGTGTTCGTGCATGATTGTGTGTGGTATGATTTGTGTGTCTGCTCGGTGTCTGGTTGTTCTGCTTCTTCTGCTGGTTCTGCTTCTGTCCTATTGTTCTGCTTCTCCGAATGTTGCGACTGATGCTAGCGTATTTGCGGCGGCGACTGCTGCCGCTTCCGCCAGCAGCGGTGCTGGTGTTTTTGTTTGTTTGCCGTTCTTTGTTCTTCGTTGTTTGGTTTGGTTTGGCTTGATGGTTGCTTGTTTGTTTGATTTTTTGTTTGTTTTGAATTGATCAATTGATTGATTGATTTGATTTGATCGTATTGCTTGATTGTTTTGTTGTGATTTGAGTTGAATTGATTTGAGTTGTTTGATTGGTTGACTGGTTTGATTGATTGGTTTGATTTGATTGATTGTTTTTTGTTTTTTGTTTTTTTTAATCATTATTATTATGATTTGTTTGGTTGTTGACTTTATATTTATTTGATTGATTGGTTGATTGATTTGAGTTGATTTCGTTGATTGATTTTATTGATTGTTGTATGTATGGATGGATGGATGGATGGATGGATGGGTGGATGGATGTATGCATGGATGGATGGATGGATGGATGGATGGATGAATGGACGGATGGATTGGAAAGATTTCTTTGCTCGGCTGATTGGTTGGTGAACCGATTGGTTGTTTGTTTGTGTGTTTATTTGTTTCGTTGTTTGTTTGGTCACTTGCCCTTTAGTTGTGTTTGTTTCATTGTTTGTTTCTTTGTTTGTTTCTTTGTTTGTTTGTTTGTTTGTTTGTTTGCTCATGTGCTTTGTTTGTTTGTTTGTTTGTTTGTTTGTTTGTTTGCTTGATTGTTTGTTTGTTTGTTTGTTTGTTTGTTTGTTTGGTTGGTTGGTTGGTTGGTTCTTTTTTTGTTTGTTTGTTTGCTTGCTTGCTTGCTTGCTTGATTGTTTGTTTGTTTGTTTGTTTGTTTGTTTGTGTTGATTGCTTGCTTGCTTGCTTGCTTGCTTGCTTGCTTGCCTGCTTGCTTGCTTGTTTTCTTTTGTTTAGTTGCGTTGTTTGTTTGCTTCGATTGCTCCCGATTGAAACCTCCTTGCCCGAGGCAAATTTGTGGTCACCGCCACTCAGATGCTGGATTCCATGGAGCGGGCGCCGCGCCCCACCCGAGCGGAGGCTACAGATGCGCCTACGGCAGCAGTCAGGGGTGGGGTGGTTTGTGTGTTTTTTCTTTTCGAAGAAAGACACCCCCGTATCAGCTCCTTGGTTCTGGCCTGGTCTTTGGTGTGACCCCAAAGGCCCCTTAGACCTGCTTATGACACATGGCCGTGAAATCCCTTGGGTCCCACAGGGATTTCGGAGTCGGACTACATTTTGAACAACCCAGAGAATATTGGCGAGCCAAAATCAAATGCATGGTAGACGTCAGATCCAATCAGAAATAGGTGCGCATATTTGCCCTGCTGATTCTTTACCAATGGGTAGACCTCTTTAATACCAGGTTTTGCGTGTTAGATGTCTATGCCCCAGTTCAGCACTGCCAGGAGTTTCCTTTTAGTTTCCCTTTTAGCTCAAATCTAAACATCCTAGAAAAGTCCCAGGAGGTTCAGGGCCCAATGACTGCCAGCGAATCCAGAGGTCCTTACATTTTGGGCAACCCCCTTGCAGATTTGCCTTGCACGTGTCTCGTTGTTTTTTTCTTTTCGGCAGCCCGTAAGGTGGAGCAGCCACCAAGCCCCTCCAACCCCCCCCCCAGCCACGCCTGGCAATCGAGGCCCAAACCCAGGAACCCGTGCGAGGACATGGTTGTTGTTGGGAAAATTATATACATACATTTTTCCTTATTGTGGTTTAGTGGGAAATCCCCACAAAACTGCTAAAATCTACATTTTTGCTCCCCTTCCGACGTCAACCAAGAGGAATTAAAGGAACCTTGCCTGTGAGTTTGATTAAGGAACACCATGGTGGAAATAAACCTCCGATTTGGATGTGCACCAAAGAGTCCCAAATCGACTTCACATAACGCCTTGCGAAGTAGGTGGTGTGTTTAATCCGCTTGGTTGAACATAAATGTTTTTTGCGGGTTGCACTTTGGTTCTCTTGGTTTAAAATGGGGTTTCCCATGTTGGTGGTAAACAGCGCCTTTTGGTTGCCATAAGTGAATTTCCTTTGGGGATGATGTGTTTAACGGGGACATGTGGGGAACCCAGTGGCATCCCTGGGCACCCAAGGGGAACTCCTAATAGGACCCAAGATTCCATCCTACCCCTTTTGGTTTGGTGGGTTCGGGACCCCCAAAGGCACTCAACCCCGAAAAGAGTAGGTTGTGAGGAACGAACGGGTAAATCCCACTACTTCGGTGTCCAAATCAACATTTTGACACAACCACAATTTCCAATCCACCGATTTGTCCAAAAGGTTTCATGGTGATTTCGCATAGTCAGGTCCTGAACGCGGTGCTGGACGGCTCGGACGTGGTGATGCTTTCCGGTGAGACGGCAAATGGCAAGTTCCCGGAGCAGGCCGACGCATTTCTTTCCTACTCTTTTTGGTGTGGCTCGGTGGTGTTGGTTTTGTGTTTTCGGTTTGGTTCAATTTGTTTTTCTTGTTGGCTTCATTTTGGGCTCCTGGGCAGTAAGAAGCGTTGATACGGGTGTGGCTCAACATTGAACAGCTGGGGTTACGCAGCTCTTTGTCTTGTTACCAGTTGCCAGGGTGCCATTTTAGTACATGCGCTTGAGCCGTTTTGTGTCTTTTTGGTTGTCGGTGTTGTGCTTGGTGGTGTTGTTTGCGGTCGTTCAGAATGGCTTCATTCTTGGGGCCGAAAGCATTGATACCGCAGCTTCGACACAGAGACGCTGCCCTGTCCAAAATGATGAGGCTGTGGCCACCATGCGGCATATCTGCGAGAGGGCGGAGAGGGTGATCGACTACAAGGCCCGTGCTTCCCAAGCCGTGACCCCCCAGATGAGATGTCGATGGTCTTTTGGCTTGGGCCCCTGGCTTTGGAATACACGTTGCTTGAATGCTCCATGGGACTTTGGGAATCCGCGACTTCAGGCCAACTGCAGCTCAGCAGTTGGGTGTTTCTAAAAATACGGGAACCATGGGAACCCCGAAATGGCCAGCGTGCTTTGGTTTCAACTTCAAACCACCCGAAAAGGGGTTCACTATTTTAAGAACCCCCCGGTTCTGGAACCTTGTGTTGGCAATTTCAGTACTTGACCAAAGGCAAGGTCACTCCAAAAAGCACGCATGTTTGCTATTAAAAAAAACAGTCCCTTTTCCGTCAACAGGAAACTAGCATATACATGTATTCACTCGTACATACAAGAAGTTGAAGGCTGAACTCTCAACTGTTGGTTTCCTCGTCTATGTTTAGTTGTGTCCCCCAAAGAACAACCTTTCCGACCAATTCAATGGGCTTTCCGAAAATGGAGCATGTCTTAGTCTCGATGCTAAATCCGCAGGCCCTCTATTTGCACATCCGCCTGGCTGTCATGGATGCCAGCCAAGGAATGGGCATTGACCCCGTGCGCGGCTGAGCTGCGCGATTGCCAGGTGAATTGAGGTTTGGGAACCCTGAACGTTTGGGGGCTTCCCCAAAAGGGAAGTCTTCTGAAGCCTTCAAAATTCAGTCTCCATGATTGGGTAGAACTGCACAAAGGTCCCTGGGGTCGGGCCAAAAGCCAAAAAGTTGTGATGCACCAGGGTCAAAAGCTGTCAGGGCCCCTCAATTTCTGCTTGTTGGACCGCCACAAGTGTCGTATTGTTGGAGATTTAACTAGTCAACTGCAACTTTTGAATGGGACATCCAGTGATCCCTGCACGTCTCGCCTAGATCGAATCCATTTGCTCATCAGCTGTCAAGACCGTGGTGGACTCTGATTGCGCTTCGACTGCAATGAGGATTTGTCCTCCCAAGTGATCCCCCCGAATTCGGGTGGTTTCCTTGCGTCTTCTTGGCAAGAAAAGCACCCTCCAAGCCGCATGTAGGCAGGAAGCGATTCTGGAAGTGCGGGCCCAAATGACAACCTCCAAGGTCCACACCGCTTTGAAACTGATCACATTCAGCCTGCCAAAAGCAGGTGGCTTTCAGTTCTAGCACGTTGACCCAGGATTCATACACCCTGGTCAGGACGGGGGTGTCCCATAGAGGGTATCATTTCCTAATCCGGCAATCCCTTCAGGCAATCCAGAATCCTTACGAAAGGATTTGGTCTCAGTGGTTTCTCGAGGATGGATCGAGATTTGCCAAATCCGTGTTCTGAACAGCGCACTGCACTACGTTTTCCATCACAGAATGACCATGGGTAAGGAGAGGACACCCCTCGCAAAGGTCACACGTGCTATGGCATGATTCCAACTCATTTTTCTCAGCCGTGCAAGCAACAAAAACTGAACCCTGCCCTTTCTCTGCGTGTTTGGGTGTTTGGCTGAGTGGTTGGAAAGCATCGAATCCCTTGTTTTGCATGGGGAAGTTAACAGTCAGGTAAGTAATTAGACTGGTTTTTAAACTGCTAGTCTTCCTTTTCAGCCATTTTCTCCACACTTCCATAGTTAGAGGGTACCATCCCTGAGTTCAGAATACAGCATTCCACGGATCGCCCAACGCGGCGTTGGTTTTTTTGTTTTTCTGTTGATTATTCGATTGTTTGGTTCCGAGCTACGGTGCGTCACTCAAAGGGACCCCTCCATCGTGCGACTAGCCTGAAACAGGCCGCCTTTGGTGCTCTTGTTCTTTGACACCCTTCTCCACAGTAATTAACTAGCATCAGTTAATATCGACACGATCATCATCGTCCTCCTCCTCCTCCTCCTCCTCCTCCTCCTCCTCCGTCATCATCCTCATCATCATCATCATCATCATCATCATCATCATCATCGTTTTCCTCCTCATCCTCCTTATCGTCATCATCATCATCATCACTTCTTTCAGGTGTGATCACTTTTTTCGGACACAAACCAGGGGTGTCACTCGCTCTCCTCACATGGACCCCCTTCCATCCGAGCGAGGCAAGCTGATCATCGCCTTCTCGAGGACTGGGCGTGCTGCCCGGATCGTGGCCAAGTATCGCCCGCCTTGCCCCATCCTGGTGCCACGGCCCACGTTGGCGCTCCCGTTTGGTTTTGTCCGTGGAACATTTGGGTTTGGATGGCCCCTTGCCCATCCAAAGGGGCCACTTTTTTTTGGGAAACCCCAGTCATGGTTGTGAAAGGTTGGGGTGCAGGTTGCCAGTTTCTGTGAGCCAAATAATGCATTTCTGGTATCAGAAGGGTTATTTTCGACAGCCGTGGTTCGGTCCCTCGGTAGACGCTCAACAAATGGTGAGCATCAGCATCAGTGTGAAAATAAACGTGGGCATTTGTTTGTTTTAAATAGCAATGCACTGAACCATTCTGTGGCTATCGTAATTGTTGTGATTGTTGTTATGGTTGTCATGTTCATCAGGGTCACTGTTCTGATGAATGAATTAACATGCATTCAAAGGTAGTATCATGGTGAGACGTATGTCATGTGGTGAGCTCTTGCTATTGAAAGTTGGGCTGGTTTACGAAGGGCGGCCAGGAGCTAATGGTCTGAACAGATATTGCCCAACCCTGCACCCCTTTCATTTCGCTCAGGGGTTAGCGAGTGTTTTTGGGGGCATGTAGTTTTATCATAGCATGTTTCCATGCCACGGCCAATGCGCCGTTTGGCTCAAGCTTTTACACTCGTCGACTGATTCTCGCCATTTCGTCGGAAAACGATCGCGTCGCTCTACGCGCCGGCTGCGCTGTGTCGCAGCCGTCGCTGCCGGGGTGGCGGTCGTGTCTCCGGAGGTGGGTCGGGTGTTTGGTTGGAGTGGTTTGCTTTGCTTGCTCGCTTCGCTTCGCTGCATTGTTTGCCTGCTTGGTTTGCTGCTTTGTGCTTGCTTTCGGTTGTCTCTGCCCTTGCTGGGTTCATTCATCTTTTGGTTAAAGGCACCCTGTTTTGGTTCATTGTTTGTGCCAGCCGGGGGCACCGCTTTGCCCTTGGGACTGGGGGACTTAAACAGTCTCTTCTTGTTGGTGGGATTGGGCCTGTTTATTCCCTCCCGAAACTCTGTTTCAAACCCTTTCGCAGGTTATCAGCCGTAGGATTCGTCCTCGGTTGGCACCGCGAACCCCTTTTTAACAACCCTGCAGGCGCTGTAGGTTACTGTATATACGATGGCAGGAATCACTGAGGATGGACCTCATGTGGTGACTGATGAATGGGTTCTCGGCCAGGCCGGAATCTTGGACGTTGTGAATGACGACCAGGTGCCCGGACAGCCGATGTTTTCCGGTCCTGACCTTTTGTCGGACCATACTTTTTCAGAAGCAATGCCTTCAGGAAGGTCCAGTGCTACTCGCACTGATGACCTATCGTCTAATGCCTCAAGAGCTAATCGCTCTCAGGGTCATGGGGCTAATCGTCCTGACCATGATGATTCCGTCTCAGGACGTGATGATGACGAGCCCGGTATTGCACCTGGAGCTCAATCCTCATCTTTCCCGGAGCTGATGAATATTGGTCAGTCCGAGTTTCGTGATTCTCGAGGTAGCAGTAGACCTGTGCCAACCAGTAGCATAGCTTTTCAAGTGCTCGGTAATCCCGAACCTGGTACATCGAGTGGAGTTGCATTTGATGTTCATCTGCCGACCGAGTCCGGTGGGCTCGATTGGAGAGCCTCATGGCCCAACGACGGAAACATTTTTGGTATGGATTTTGCCGCATGGATGCCAGGGCCACCCGCCCCGTCATCTTTCCCGCAATTCCAAAGCCCAAAACGGGCTGCTGGAAGCGATGAATTCATGCTACCTTTGTCGATTGAGAATCTCAATCCTGACGTGGCCAGTCGTAACGTCAGGCCAAGGCCGTCGGTAAACCCGACCATGAGGAACATGTCCCCTCCCCCAGGACTTTCAGGATTTGAGAGCCCTAGGGAGCGTAATATCGTAGATAGATTGGATTTGCATCCCAGTCCAACCCCAAGCAAACGATCAAGGTCAAATTCGACTGGATCGCATAGGGCAAGGGGGATGGATCGGGAAACCGCCCACAGGGGTAACCCCAGTGCGCGGGACTCAGGACGCGGTCGATCAGGTGATCCAGCGTCAATCATTGGTAGAGACCCGCTAAACGCGGACACACTCGTTAACGTGCTTGATGGAATCGAAGCATTCCAGGAGGAATTTAATAGGTCAAGTGGCATGAACGCACAAGGTGTTCGCCCTACGCCCAACGCGGCTTCCATTTTCGCCCTAGACGACATGGACGGAGCAAATGTTCCGATAGAATCTGAATCCATGATGGCATCAAGTTCTAGTCGCAATCATACCATCAGTAATGCGACTGATATTGAATCGATGTCTGAGTCTAGAGTGTCCAATGCGACCGACTTGAATGACATTGTTATTGCTGACTCGAGACCTGATGTTCCTATGCGAATGGATAGGCCTGTTGTTCCTAAACTGCCCGTGGCCAAAGGCCTGGGCATGACACAACCCTCTGCGGTTCGTGATGCTAGGAGATCTGCTCCGTATCAGAGTCAATCTCCGAATCGGAGTGAGTTTCCACGGCCATCAACGGCCGTGCAGGATGATTTCAGAACTCCTCCGAGATCTAATCCAATCATGGTTGATTTGTCCACTCCTCGAGATCGCGGATCAGGATTTGGTCCACGAGTGAGGAGCAACCCAACGAGGTTGCTGATCTTGTAACAGCCCTTGAAAGAGGGAGAGTGGACTCTTCGGTAAGTGCGATTATTCATCGCCTGGTTGCTAAGGTCGAAGACCTTGGTCGTAGGAATGATAGAAGTGATCAATGCATCAAGCAGCTCTCCACTGAGGTTAGCTCGTGGAGGGCCAAATACGACCAATGCGTCCATATGAGTGGCACGTGTACGCAGGCTGCGAACGCGGCCATGCAGCTATCACAAGGGACTAAGGACATCGTGACCGAGCTTGGCCAACGCGTCAAGATCGTTGCCGATCGCATGATAAGCATAGGCGATGCCCTAAACGAGCGAGCCAGCTATGATGATGTTGCTCGCTCCATCACCCAGGTTCAAACTGTTTTTGAATCTCTCTCTGATCGAGTAACCGGGCTTATAGCTCGTGTTGATATGATCGAGAGATCTCTAGTGGAGAGCCAATCCAACCATCCTGCAATTGGTGGGGTAAACCTCAAAATCGAGGACCTGTCCACTAGGGTATGTCAGATTGATAGGATGATGCAAGATGTCGAACAACGCTGGACCAATAATAGGGACGGCATAAAGTGGGTTAAAGACCAACTTTATGAGACACAAGCCAACCTTGAGATGAAGTCAAGGGACTGCAAGTCCTACACGGACAAGCAAAATACTCATAACATGGCCGTTTCGACTACGCTCAACAGTAAGCTCGAGCAAATGCTCGAGGTGCTGGGTAATACGGCCCAGAGAATCAGCTCCATCGAGTCAAGGCACTCGAACCAGGCCTCAAGTAGTGGATTGAACGATCACACAGGAGGAAGGCGAGCCGCGTCCCGCACTCCGGATAAGCGGCCACCTCCACCTGGCCCTCCTGATGGTGATCCTCCACCACCTCCTCCTCCAGATTGGCAAAACCCAGGAGGAGGGGGGCAGAAGAGTGCTGCCGGTGGGAACCCTGGCAACCCTGGTAAACCCAGATGTAAATATGTAGGTAATGGATATAATCATCTCATGGCTGAGTTTCACTGCAAGGGATGCAGAGGTGATATTTGTGAGTATTGTTTCTCGTTTAAAGAGAACCTGTGTGAAGAGTGTTCCCGTAACGGACCCCGATGCGGTGTCTGTAGGGAGAGCTCGTTCCTGACCAAGGGAATTGAGTGTCAGTTTTGTAAGACCTACTACTGCACCAGACATTCTGCTGGGCAGGATGACTACAGGAGATTTGGATTTGTCCAGGGTCCCTGTTGTCTTGCGTGCCTTAGGGACGAGACTAGGAGAAGAAGGGATCCCGATGGTAACCGTGTCAGGAATAGATCGCCTGGAGGCGTACCTGAGACGAACCCGACGCGGTCGTTCTCGCCGCCTCTGCGGCCACCCGTTGACAGATTCCGTGATACCCCAAATGGAGGTCAACCCAACGCGGCTAACCTTCAGAGTCCTCCGAAGGCTACGCAATCCGTGCCCCTGGATAAACGTGAAACCGGATATTATCCAGGATTTGATCCCAACGGTACAAGGCCGAAGGATCCTTCGGGCCTTGAGCCGCCGACCATGCGTGGCCCCGATCCTCCTGACAAGAAATGTCGGATGTGTGATCGGGATATTCCTGACCCCAGCAAAATTGAGGAATGTAAAATATGCATGAAAAGGGCATGTGAGATTTGCATTCCGAAGGCTACACGCCTTTGTCCTGTATGTGCATTGTCAATCGGTAGTTCTCAGGTTCCACAGCATCTTTTCGGAACTGGTGGCGGCGGGTACGGTAGCCACCATGATCCGAACTGTACAGCTGCGACTAAGTGCATTCCCATAGACCTCCCGCCAGAGCCCGACGCGGCTGGGCTGAGGGTATGGATAGCCAATATGAAGGAAGCTGTTAGCAATGCCTACAGCTATGATGGACTTTACGTCATCAATTGGCTAACTGAAGTCGAGAAGGCAAAGACCTTTGATGAACTGGATGGGGAATGTAAGTACCACATCCTCGAAGCCAGGTTCAATGCAGCCATTCGGAAGTGCATCAAGACTGTTGCGATCATCGATAAGATTAATCGTCTCACCGAAGCCGCTCAACGCTCCAACAATCGCATCAAGAGTAGGCAGATCCTGTGGCTCTTATACGACCACTTAAGGACTGCGAATATCGGAGAGCAATCGTTCAGGATAATTGAGCTCTCAAACTTACGATGCAGTACATCATCTTTCTATACTGAAGAGGAGCGACTTGAAAGGTTCATCGCGAAGTGGGATCACATCCTTGCGGGTCTCGATGAACCGCTGACCGAACAGGTAAAGCGGTCGCTATTCAGTGAGAAGGTTAGACACCTCAACTGTTTGGCCCATGATATCAGGGAATGGGATAGGAACATATCCAACCCTGATGTTTGTAGCTA